GACTTGTGACAACTGAAACAAGCTTGTTCGTGTTGCATATCTGAGGCTTCACCAGCACTAAATTGTGTCAGGTGGTTGAGTGATAGAATAAAATTGAGGTTAAAAGTGCAGTGAGACTGCTTTAATACATCAAAGCTGCTGCTCCAATAGTAACATCTGAAAGTGATTCTTCAAAATATTTCATTCAGAGGATGATATTTCTACATTCAGAGATAACACATGCTTCACAAAAGATAAGACTATGAAGCAATTTTCTGGTAGAAGAATGTATTTATTCCAAAATTCCCTGCTGCAGCACATGAGCGTAACCTGAGCCGCCTATGTAGGAGCGTCTATCCAATGTTTAGGCTATACTAGGCTGAGTAAATGTCTGCTGATACTCTCGCTCAGCCTATTCTTGTCTGTGTATCTACAAATTAACAACACATAACCCCCATATGCATGTCTCAATTCACTCGGTGTCTATTTGCTGTATGTTCTTACCTTTGAGGGTCCCGAGCAGCGGGTCTTTCGGAGGCATAATTAATATTATCAGCGCCGATAGAGACGCACTGTGCCGCCTGTCATTTAACAGCGCGTCATAGCTTTCACACACTTCCGCATGTCTAAAACATACCGAGACACCCTTTCCCTTAGGCTGTTACAGATAGAGAAGGGTAAACATGATATCAATGTACAAATAGACTACATGGATCACATTTTGCGGTTGGACTGGAAATGTCAGTGACAGCTACAATAAACAATTTTCACTCAAAAACATTGTAGCTAGCCTACTCAGTTTCAGAATAGCCTGTTTCATTTTGCACACACTGAATGGCTACATTGTTTCTGTCATTTAATCAAGGTCTCTTAAATTGACGCGCTGTGAATGAGATTCTATAGTCTGGCGACCTCTTGTGGAAAAAAGTGAATTATCAAAACACGTGAGGACCCAACAAAGATGTCTACCTGTTTCGTCTATATTCGTCAATATTTCGGAAACGCACGAACGTTTATTCGCACAGCGGGGTGCTAGTAAGGTCACTCACTCACTCACTCACTCAATGCAGTTGCAGTAGATAGAGCCTGGCGCATGTATAACGGTAGTGAGGTGTAGAGTAGGCTACAACAGTAGTTAGTCATAGGCCCTACACCTACAGAGAAAATAAACTTGATTTTCTAGACTACAACCATTTCCTCGTGGATTCCCTAGGTAAGTCTTTCTGCTACAGAAATCTTAATTTTAATGCAATGTTTTCTTATTTGTTTCTTCACGATGTCTAAAAGAATCCATGTAGGCTACTGTGGATGCAAGCTTTACGCATAAAATGATGGTTGCATTATCCAAGCTAGTCTTGCAACATTGAGTTTGGGTATGTTTGGATAATTGTTTAACGTTCTGCATGCTGCGCCCTGAAAGTGGAATCGTTTTTACTACTTGTCTGCGCTGTGCGCTCAGGGGAGCGGTCGGGTCAGCTACTGCTTTTTCTCAGAGAAGCACGAGATAATGTCAGTATGCTGATCTATTCGGGTTCGGGAGCAAGTTCGCGCAACTAATGCCACTCAAAAACAATAGTCGTGAAAAGAAGTCAGAAACAGAAGTATTGTGTCAATATATTTGCTTATTATATAGGCTTCATAATGGTATTACTCATGTGATATTACGCGTTGGAACCAGTCCAAAGGAAACCTCTAGCCCACTCTGTTGTGATGATCTGTTCAAACTGGCCAGAGGTGTTGTCTTGTGTGTCCTAGAATAGAAAGTCACTAAGGTTGTGGTCAGGGACAGGTGAGTTATAATCCGGGATCTCCTCTTATCTCAAATCCACTACAATCTACAATGCACCTCTCCAGACACACGGCCACCCTCACTAGAATAATGCGTAGCCTAATAAACCCTTAATTTCAGGTGTGTTAATGATAACGGTGTCCATTTACTACCTAGCCTATGTATCATGTTTCGCTGGAAATTCCCTGTCGTGTTTATCAGATTTGGCTTTATGTGTATTATAGTTTACCCAACTCTGTTTAATTCGTTAACCGGATTAGTGGCAAGGGTTCAGCAGGTGTCCTCGGTAGCCTCTCCCGGTCCCGGCACGTGTCCCAGTCAATCGTTTTGGACATGCTCCGCGCTAATTGTTTTGACCACAGAAATAGAAAACGCGGGTTCACCTGTTGTGAAAGTGTTACAATCACGTTTAGGTTCAGTGGCTCAATTGCCTCATTCAAAACTCCCATCTTTGTGTAAAAATATGGTGCATAAGTATTGGCGTGTAGGCCTAAATTCTTGTGTCAATTCTGATCTAAACCATTTAGTCTACATGACAAGTTACAAGTTCAGGTCTAACGGGAAGGGGCTTTTAGTGGCCAGCCCTTCTCTTGGAGAGCTACTGGGTATGCAGGCTTTCGCTTCAACCCAACTATAACACACCTAATTCAACTAATCAAGTTCCTGAGCATCACCTTATTAGTAGAACCAGGTGTATTAGGGCAGGGTTGGAACAAAACCCTACAGGAGGGTAACTCCACCTGATTAAGGCCAGCCCGAGTGGCGCAGTGGTCTAAGGCCGTTGCAGTGCTAGCTGTGCCACTAGAGATCCTGGTTCAAAACCAGGCTCTGTCGTAGCCGGCCGCGACCGGGAGACCCATGGGGCGGCGCACAATTGGCCCAGTGTCGTCCAGGGTAGGGGAGGGAATGGCCGGCAGGGATGTAGCTCAGTTGGTAGAGCATGGCGTTTGCAACGCCAGGGTTGTGGGTTCGTTTCCCACAGGGGGCCAGTATATAAAAAATAATGTATGCACTCACTAACTGTAAGTTGCTCTGGATAAGAGCGTCTGCTAAATGACTAAAATGTAAATGTAAAATGTAAGGATAAGTCCTTTCAAGGGGTTATTATAAGGTGATGGCATAGTGCCTCCAAAATAACCCCAAAAACCAACCAGCTGTGAAAATCCTTTGTTGGCAACATTTCCAAACACCCAGCATCATTGTTATTCTGCTGTGTCCTCCTTGGAAAGTTGATGAATTGCATCATCTTTTGGCCCCTTTCCCCTGCTGCCTCCGTCACAAAAAGTACAGAAAAGGTACAGTAAATCCCTCTTGTACATCAAACTAGCTGCAGGGTGCAGGCCAGGGGGGTGCTGCTGATTCAACACCACTGGGGCCGAACGGTCGATCAGTGGGCTGTGAAAAAATGCTCTCAGATGCTGCTTTACATCTCCATGGGATATCTGTCTGACACCAAGGCCGTGATCAAGATGCATCGGCCCACACAAAACATGTCACTGCAGTTTTTGTCTCTCTTGTACTCATGGTCTCTCTCTTTTCTCTCTCTCTCTCTCTCCTGCTATGTATCTCTCTCTTTCCCTCTCTCTCCTCTCTGCTATTAATTTCTCTCTTTTCTCTCTCTTTCTTTCAAACCAGGCCAACTGCAATGTAGTGATATAAAAGTTGCACAGTACACACACAGTTTTGATATGGGGATAGTTTACAGTTTTTCTCGATTGCTAAGACATTTCTTGAAAGCTGCTCTCCTTTTCTCTTAACTGTGAACACAAAACCCAATTTTCAAGCTACAGTCACAAAACCTCAGACTCTTCTTGCAAAACCAAACTTTCACCTCAAAACAGTTCAATCTGTGCTCAAAACTGAACTATGTTGTCAAATCGTGCCCCGAGTCAATCAAAATAAAAAAACACTACTGAACAGTCACTAAACACTACGTAGAAAAATAGAAAACACAATGCTCAGGACATGAAGCTGGAGAAATAAATGTTTATTGTTCACTGTAGGCTAAATGCATGTTGCAAAAAAAACCTGTGCATTTAGCACTTGTACAAAAAGACAAAACAGAAATCTTGTGCATTTACATGTAGCACTTGTAAAAACAAACAGAAATCTTATGCGTTTGCCACTTGTGTACAGTAAGCCCATGTAAAAAGAAAGTACAAAAATATACAAATAAGTGCATTACTCAGCCACAGCATCATGTCTCCGTACTGGGTCAGGCCACAGGACTTCATCCACATCACAGGCCACATTTTGTCTGGCCAGGCAACGGGGGAAAAAACCCCTGGCATGCCGTATCCAGGCTTGGCATGCCTCCACACCTATGTCACCACAGGCAAGTCCCATGGCTTGCAGGAGATTTACCCTGGTGTAAGGTTGGCGTTCATATACCTTCCACCGCCATGAGGAGAATAATTCCTCAATGGGGTTTAGGAAAGGGGAGTACGGTGGAAGGCAAAGATTGATAAAACCTTGGTTCATATTGTACCACTCTCTAACCTGGAGGGCTCTGTGAAAACTCACATTGTCCCAAACAACAACATAGATGGGATGCTCATCCTGCTGCCCTAACAAAGCATCTCGCATGTGATTGAGGAAAATGAGGAGCTGGTGAGTGTTGTAGGGCCCCAGGTTGGCATGATGGTGGACAACCCCATGATTGCTGATGGCAGCACATAATGTGACATTGCCACCACGCTGCCCAGGAACACCAACAATGGCCCGATGGCCAATCACATTACGGCCTCTCCTCCTTTTGGTGAGATTAAACCCAGCTTCATCCATGTAGATGTATTGATGGGGTCTTTCCATTGCATCCAGTTGAAAAACCCTCTGTAGAAATAGATATAGTTTTGTAAGTGATACGGAAAAAGTGATTTAGGCCACTACAGTAAATCACTACTTAGAGTAATCAACATTGAATGTGTCTGGATATATGCCAACCTGTACATACTGGAATCTTTGCTCTTTGACTGTCTGAGTTACGATCAAAGGGCACTCTGTATAGCTGTTTCATGCGCAGTCTGTTGCGCTTGAGGACACGATCAACAGTAGAGAGGCTGACACTGTTGATACCCTCAAAATTTAAATGGTCCTCAATGATCTTCTGCTGAATTTCGCTCAGTTTAATGGCATTGTTCTCACGGACCATATCAACAATTAGGGTCTCTTGGTGTGGGGAGAACATACCTGTCCTCCCACCCCCATGTGGCAGTCTTTCAATTCTACAAAAAGAGAACATGGAGTTACAAAAAATATACATGGAATACTAGGCCTACAAACAGTTAGACCAACCCTCCATTACAATACTACATTGGTACAGTGATGTACTGAAACATATATTTACTTACAGTATACTGTGGTACAGTATATAGTATGTCATACAGTAATTGCTGTCAACATTTACATACTGTACTATAATGTCAAAAAAAGGTAATTACCTGTTCTCTTCTCTAAATCTTCAGATTATGGTTGACACAGTGAATCTACTGATGTTTGGTTGTACCCTTTGTCCAGCCTTCCTCATGCTCATACCATGGACAAGAACATGGTCAATCACAGTAGCTCTGATTTCATCAGATATTACTGTTCTTTGTCTTCGCTGACCACCTCGACCTCCTCTCACACGAACTCTTCCTCTCAGATTTCTATCCATTGTAGGGCCTCACAAACCAGTGCTCTCTGAACTGGCTTACTGTATATGTTCCCTCACATCATTAGCCACAAGTGTGATCAATTTTGAGTTGTTGTGTTCAAGTGGTGACACCTGTGCTCTAATTGTGTTTGACTTTTATCACCTGTGCTCACCATTATGCAGCACGGGTGCATCACAATGAAAAGGTGTTGGCAAGTTATGTCTAAACAGGTGAAAAGTGCTTATGGTTTTGCCAAAAGAGTGATTGATTCAATCAGTGGGTTCAGGCAACTGAGCATTTGGTTCAGACAATAGGGTTTAGTGTTTTAGCAATTGAGAAAAACTGTAGTGTTAGCACACAGTTAGGCAACACACTACCAGGATACACTTCCACACTCCATCCCCAGGTGGCAGCACCAACCGGGTCAAGGGCTGTGCTCTGCAAGGAAGCCTCTGCCATAAGCACAACAGGTGGTGGCAATCAAGATTGATTGGCAATCTGTGACCAGAGGTATCTAGGCCTGCCAGTTTCTGTAGTTGTTTTGTGTTAGTTAACCTCTTTATTTTAGTCATGCCTCTTTGTAGTTTTCTTTTTGTATATATTTATTTTGGGTCACTATGTTGAACGAATACTAATCTGCTTGGACTGGCTGACCATGGGAGTCATGACTGAGCTGTCCCCGGACTAGCCCTTGATCATGACTCTCAGTTCCATTACATTACACATAAGAGTCATTGGACAAAGGCGTTTTCTGTAGGGGGGAGTTTTGTTAAGAGCCGCAATGCTCTGTCTGAACATTAACACGCATCACTTGCGGTACGGTTTTGGAAGCATAAGGACCTTATCTTTATTTTTTCTTGTAATAATATTTACTTTAAAAAACAACCATATTTTTTCACACCAGATACATAAAAAAACAACGACTACATCTCCTCTGCCCAGGCCCACATGCTCACACCCCGTTCCCTAGTGCCTGCATTATTGTTTGCCACATAGCCTTAAATTGTACCAATTCGTTTTTCTCAGTGGCCCATGCTATTTCAATATTCAGATAATAAATCATTAGATTTTCCCATTGTGTTAATGATGGTGGATTAATTGATTTCCACGTTTTTTATGTTTTTTCAAGATGAATGATGAGAAGCGAATCGTCCAGCCCATTGGGTATCTCACTCACCCCCATATGTCATGACTTGAAATATAAGGACCTTATCTTTCATATCGACGAGAAATCATTTTCGCAAAACAAAAGGTTAACCTTTATAGGGTTAGGGTTCCCACACAGCCATATTTCCATGCTACAGTGCTTGTTTATGGAAAACAGACAGAACACAGTGGACTACCTGTGCTAATTAGCTATCTGCTTCTCCGAACTCCTGTGTGTAAACAGAAGACAGATGCCAAAAACGTGTTGTCACTGAACTATACTGTTGGCTGCAACTGTGTTGAAACAGGTTAAAACAGTGTACAGTAAGTGTGTATTTTGCATTTGTGAAATTATTTTGATGTGATATGAAAGTAGAGGGATTTATGTTTCTAGAACCATACTGCAATTGAGAATTGATTCTTGTTTAGATGGAGTATTTGGCTGTTTTGGCTTCCAGAGCCAATTTGCCCTTTAAACAGAACATGTAAGGTTCTTGGACTAAGGAGTAACGTTAGGCTCCTTTAGTCCAATATTGGGCTAGCCCTGGACCTAAGGTAAGGTGGTTGTCTCCTAGGTACATGCATTCAACACCTGGTCACATACACTTACTTCTCACATTTATGCACACATCAAATCAGGTTACAGACCATGCACTGTAGCTAGGCCTAAGACCCCTAGACATAATGAGTGCAAAAAAAATCAGTAGGCTAGTTATTGGTTTCGTAACAACACACACACACACACATCGATTTAAGGTGCCATTGGAGCCCAGTCAGCTGTAGATCAGGCCTAGCACTGACAGAATGAGTGCCAGCGCATAATAAAGTTGTGTATCACTGCGCCAGCATAATGAAGCTGTGTATCACTGTGCCACAGGGCCTCTCTCTCCCCCCAGCTGCCAACATGATGAAGGAGTGCCTCCAGTTCCTCATCGAGCCGGCGAAAAAAATCAAGATCCGCCTCAAGGTACGACCCTGGGTCACCTCAACTCTCAGACACCTCGTAGCCCTTTCCTGCAGTCAAATGACCTAGTGGCCTCATGGGTGGAATGTTATTAATATTTTTCATAATTTCATAATTAATAAACATACAAATAAAAAACGCTGAAAATCTGGTGTTTCTATGTCAAACGGTTTTGTTATATTTCAGTCTTCTGTGATGTATATAAAGTGTAATATTGGGATGCAAACTCAAAATATAATACATTTCAACTCTATATCTGACATGGTACAGGTGTCTTCTTTTTTTAAGCCCATAACCATGTATGTGAGGTGTATACGTTTGTTTCAAAGGAGATTTGTTTAAGACCACCAAGAAACACTCTGTGTGACTGATTTAGCCCACTGCAGTATAAGGGTAATAGTACTGATATTTGTCCTTGTCAAGATGTACTCAAGAGAAATAAATGATTGGTTAATTTCCCTTTTGTGGTTTATCTGTGTAGCAGTGCTGCATGATTGCTGCAAATTATTAATTTTTTTTACCCTTCTCTCTTTTTCTCTCTCATCCATTGCTCTCTCTGTTCTAGGAGTCTCGTAAGAAAGTGACGAATGATAAGAAAGAACCTTTAGTGGAGAGTCAGCTGTTTATAATGGAGCTGGCCAGGGAACTCAACAGACTGTGCCAGGTACACACATACACAGAGACACACACACATGCACACAACCGCTCTCTCTCTACTATTAACTCTCTCTCTTTGCAGAGGTCAAATGTCCTAGCCCACATTTGGACCAGTGAAGACTCCTGGCCTCCCAGTGTGTGTAGAGAATTCATAGTGGAGTGGGCTGCTGTGCTGGAGAATAGAGTACAGGTGAGCACCCATATTTGAAAGAAGTGAAACTAAGTTTTCTTGAAATGAATCCTTTGTCATTGTTCTCTTTGTTTATAAACTATTATCAGGCCTTGATGTGAGACTTGTTAATGTAGTTTTTACTTAATGATCTCTTTATTGACCCATGTCCTTTGCTTTTGCAGCCAAGGAGCATCCAGACAGACCTGCAGGCTGAGTGGCCAGAGAAAAGGGACTGGAAGGGTCACCTGTTGTGTATGCTGGAGACAGGTGGAGAGTATGACATGGCAACCAACAAACGGGTCATCATGGACTGGACACACCAGCTCAGAAACAGACTAGAGGTATGGAACAGGGGAGGGATTGGGTCACTAGAGTCCAACGACAGGAGGTTGGTGGCACCTTAATTGTGAAGAACAGGCTCGTGGTAATAACTGGAGCGGAGTCAGTGGAATGGTATCAAATACATTATACACATTTCCAGGTGATTGATGCCATTCCATTTGCGCCGTTCCTGACATTATTATGAGCCGTTCTCCTCTCAGCAGCCTCCTGTGAGTCCAATGTATTGCTAAAGTGGTTGTACTACTTGTTGTTGACAAATTGACAAAGACACATTGTTGTCATTCTTTATCTAATTTCATTCTCTGGCACAGCGATAGTTTACTGATTAAGTTATTAGAGTTGTTGTTGTTATCACTTGGCCTCCCCCTTCTTTCTCTTTCCCTTTCTCTATGTTCCTCTCTCCCTCTCCTTCTATTTCTGTCGCTGTCAGACTCCAAGTCTGTCACACCCATTTGATTAAAGACTTACTCTTGCTCCAATTCCTCTTCTTCTCTCCCTCTTCCCCTCTCTCTCTTCCCTTCTCCCTATCCCAGTTCATCCTCACCTCTCCTTCTCATCTGACATGCTCTTCATGTATAAAATAAATAAATGTTGTTCCATTTATTTATTTTTTATATTCCAAAAACAAACGTATACATACGAACAACAATTTACAGACACACAAACAATGACTACATTTCATCTGCCCAGTCCCCCATGCTCACATCCCCATCCCTAGTGCCTGCATTATTGTTTGCCACTTGGCCTTAAATTGTACCAATTAGTTTTTCTTGGTCGTCCATGCTTTTTCAATAATAAATCATTTGATTTTTCCATTGTGTCAATGATGGTGGATTGATTGACTTCCAAGTTTTTAGTATACGTTTTTTCAAGATGAGTGAGGAGAAAATAATCGTCCAGCCCATTGGGTATCTCACTACACCCCCATATGCCATGTCTTGAAATATGCAGACAGACAGATTAAAAGTAAGTTTACATTGTAGTACTTCTGACAGACAACTTTCTAGCTCCGCCCACAACTTCTGGACTTTATAGCATTCCCAGAAAGCATGGATTATTTAGTAATTATTAGTATTACACTTGAGAGATGACTCTGCCGTTGTGCTGTAGAATTTGTGGATTTTGTCTCTTGTATAATGCATTCTATACATTAGTTTATACTGGATTAAGCGTACATTTTCATTAAATGTAATTTTGTTAGTTATGCTCCAACTTTCCCTCCATCTCAGTTCTTTTAAAATCTTGTTTCCAATAGTTTATATTTTTTTCTAAGAGATTGTCAGTTAGATATGATCTCTGCAAAGTTTTATATATCTTCCCTATCATATGAACATCCTTTTCTGACTCAAATAAGATTCCCTCAAGGTTACTCTGATGTCCAAAAGATTTGAAATATATATTTCGTGATATGTAACTTTTAAGTTGCATGTATTTGAAACTATCTACATTGGTTAGTCCAGAATTACTTTTTAATTCTGTAATGGAAATAAATGTATTTCCTGTTAACAAGTCATTTACGGTTTCTATGCCTTTAGTTTATGCATGTGGGCCAATTTATCAATGAATTCTGAAAAGCTATTCAAGGATTGTTCCATAAGGTTGTGTTTCTAGGGAGTGACATTGGTTCTTGTAAAATACGTTTCATTTTGTTCCATATCGTTATAGTGTTCTTAACTATGAAGATGTTAATGTTCTTAGATTTATCCTTTGAAAATTGACACGTAAAAAGATTCTGGGGATGAGCATGTGCATCTTCAATATGTACCCATTGTTTCTCTTTAGTGCATATGTTGCAAGTAAAAGCCTTAGGTAGCGAGTTGATACAATTCCAAGTCTGGAAGGTTAAAACCACCCTCAGACTTAGGAAGATGTAAAACTTTCTGTTTTATTCTATGACTTTTATTTGCCCATATAAAGTCAGTTATGACCGAGTATACTTTTTAAAAGAATGTCTTGGTATTACCGAAAATAAATACAAAAACCTTGGCAGCCATGCCATTCTAAAGAGGTTTATTCTACCTGTAAGATTTATGGGATGATTATTCAATTTAATTAGATCTGCTTTCATGCATCTTCAAAGTGGTAGGCATGTTGTGTAAATCAAATGATACAAACCCCCCAAAAATCCATTTTAATTCCAGGTTGTAAGGCAACAAAATAGGAAAAATGCCAAGGGGGGTGAATACTTTCACAAGCCACTGTATTGTTGAGTAATAGAATAAAGTTATATTGATATATTTGTTGTTTGTTGTCATTTATTAAGCATCCTAAGTATTTTGTCTTTTTGTAGTCCACTTAAAGGATTGCTGTAGATCGTGAGCTATTCTTTTTCTTTTTCCTATTGCCATTATTTCATTTTTCCACGTACATTTTATAACCTGAGATCTTTGAATTATCTGAAAATATTTTTATCAAATGGGGCATTGAGTTTTCAAAATTAGTCAGGTATATCAGGAGATCATCTGCAAATCATTCTATGTTTACCAATACTGATACCTGTTACGTTTGAGTCCTGTCTAATTCTTTCTGCAAGCTTCAATTGCCAGTGCAAACAGGAGGGGGGAGAGGGGACATCCCTGTCTTGTGCCCCTTTCTAAAACAATTTAATCCGATAATGTATTATTCATGTATATTTTTGCTTTAGGACATTTATACAATAGTTTTATTTAATTTATTATTTAAGCTGGAAAGTTGAAAGCTTACAAAGTTTTTAATAGAAAAGGCAATTCAAGATGATCGAAATACTTTTCTGCATCAACAGCCATTATTGATGAATCTTTAAAAATATATATTTAATTTTATTGAATATTAAAACATAATCTACTTGCAGTGAAGCGGCTCAACATCTACATCACATTCAGTCATCTAACAGACTCCCATCCAGAGCGACCCACAGAAGCAACCAGGGTCAACGCCCTGCTCTATCTTGTTTTTTGCGTGTTGTGTTAAACTGAAACATGTTCTTGTATTTGTTTGTAAGTGTCTATTTTTACTAAACCCTGTTTGGTTTATATGTATGAAGTCTATAAGACTTTTGCCATTTTATTGCTTATAAGCTATTTTATTGTCACAATTTAATAAAGTTATGGGTCTATAATCAGCAAGAGACTCTCCAGATTTTCCTGGTTTTAATATAACTGTAAGCTATAAAAACAAATAAAGAGAGTCGCACACTCTTTAATATAACTGAAATAACTGTTTGATACATGGAACTAGGAAGTACTGAATTAAGTGACGTGTGTTGTAATTTGTGTAAATAGGGGGGCTACTTTATCCCAAAATGTTGAGTAGAATTATATGGGAAAGCCATCCATTCCTGGTGCTTTTCTCTGTGTGAATGTTTTAACAGTATTTAATATTTCTTCTTGGGTTATCTCTGTTTTTAATGATTTTTTTTGTGTGCTGATAGTTGCTTCATAGTTGTTGAGTCTAAGAAGGCTATAGGATCCGTCCCACTGTTGTTTAATTCTGATTTATATAAATTTTCATAGAAACTTTTAAAATTGTCATTAATCTCATTGTTGTTTCTAATTGCCACTTTTGTATCTTTATCTTTTAAAATTATATCTGGTTTAGCATGAATTCATTTTATGAGAGCTGCGAGATATTTACCAGGTTTATTTGCCATTATGTAGTATGCTTTATTTGAGATTAACCTGTAGTTGGCTCTCTTCAGAAATAAAATATCATATTCCTGCTTAAATTCAGATTTTATTTTCTTCTTTACCTAAGTTAGTGATTTATTTTTCTTAAATTTTAATTTTGAAGTCAGATTGAACTTTTGCAGAGTATGAGATGATCATTCCCCTAATGTACGCCTTAAAGGAATCCCAAATTATATCGGGGTCGGCTTTTCTCTGTCCTCTATGTTTACATTTGTAATGGTAAAGGTTTGAATGTTTTCATTTACGTATTTAATAACATTCGGGTTTAGAAGATGTGCTCTGTTCATTCTCCAAATTCTGTCGCTAAATGTATTTTCTATTGGTGTTATTAAGCATGATACCGGAGAATGATCCGATATCACTATGTCATGAATTTTTCTATCCAGTAAATTGTTGTGTATTTTTGAGAAAAATAAATGTTGTCAATTCTTGAATAGCTTTTCTTACTTTGAGAAGAAGAAGGAATAGTATTTTGTAGTTGAGAATAGTAATCTCGTGTTGTCCTGTAAATCATTTGTAGAGATGACATTTTTCAGCCTCTTTGGAGGCTCCCTAAATATGCCTGTCAATCTTATCAAATGTATGATTTAGGTCACCTGCTAAAATAATAGTTCCTGTCTGGATTTAATCTAATATAGCTTGCATTCTATCTAAAAACACCAGATGTGCCCCTGGTGGAATATACAATGTAAGGTACAATTCAACATTAGAAAATGGCCTTCTTGGTCCATATGCTGGGATATAAGGGAAAATGGTGTAATCTTATTTATCAGGATGCCTACACCTCTGCTGTTACTACAGTAGGTGGCATCATAGGCCTCTCCAACCCAGCTCCTCTTTAAATGTTCATAAAAAATAAAGAAAATATAACTTTAGGTGTTTGAGAACCATATGCTTTTTTTCCCATCATGGAGCCCGTGGACATTCCATGTGATACGTATTTTTTTTGTTGGTCTGTACTTGTATAGAATCAAACTTATCGTTATCTGTTCTGTCTATCATTGAAGACCCAAGTAAAACATTTTAACAGACATGACATATGAGGGCGGTGGGCATTCCATAGAATGTGTGGATCATAGTATAAATACATAGTTATTGTATACATTACATGTATAGAGCATGTGGGCATGTGGGCTGAGCAGACATTTGACCAAAAAAAACAAAAAACACAAACAAATCAAATAAAGCAAAGTACTGGCATGCTGACATGCTCTTCAGACTGATATTGTAGGAGAGATGGGATCTAGACTGAGGAGCAGTGTTTAGTCCACTAGTGTTTGGGATGTATTTGACCTTTGAGCTCAAGAGCAGAGCAGTAGGGAATCCTGGGACGTCCCCACAAAGGGGGATGCCACTGGATGCCAGGACTGAGGCCTCTCATCAAAGATGAACAATCCCCTGTCCTGCGTGTGCCAATATGATGGACTTACTGTATAATGTAGCTATTAATTCAGAAAGGCCAGTAATGGAAGACTCCATCTCCCTCTACTTCCCGCCTCTCCTACCCTCTTTTAGTTTCTTAGTATATAAAGTAATAACCATATTGACTTCCCTCCCTTCCCCTCTCTAGCCCAGTATCTGGCCTGGTGAGCCCGTATTGATGATGTTAGATGATCTGGAGTTCCAGTGGAGGAGGGGGCGTCTGCCGAACCTTCTCCCAGCCATGGAGCTGGTCATGTGGGTCGTGCTGAGTGCAGACAGCCCTGACAAGGTATGTGAGTTTCTATGAGTCAACTAAAAATAATAATACAAATAATAAAAACTAACAACCTTGCCTGTCTTGAACTAATACTCACACTTTTCCTTTCTTACTAGCACTGATTTGCTGATAGCTACTTATTGAGGAAACTATTTGTTTACTATGATTGTGATATGCGGTTGTCTCTCTTAGCTACTACCTTAAGATGAATACACTAACTATAAGTCACTCTGGATAACAGCATCTGCTAAATGACTAAAATGTTAACGTAAAATAACTGATTATCAATTAATATGCCTGAATAGATACACATCACACAGATAAACTCACTCAAGCCTATCCTCTGTGTTTGCAGGAGGATGTAACCAAGCAGTGGCTGATCAGAAAACAGAGGAGTCAGAAGATAGGTGTGTAGAGCTTTGACCTGTTGAAGTCATCAAGAAAGCGTTAGGTCTAGATTCAATCAGGTCAAGTGTTAACCCGCGCTAGCCGACCCCCGCATAGCTGGTGTTTTGGTGGTGCAGGAGGTGTACAGTGGCTTGCGAAAGTATTCACCCCTCTTGGTATTTTTCCTATTTTGTTGCCTTACAACCTGGAATTAACAACATGCCTACCACTTTGAAGATGCAAAATATTTTTTGGGGTGAAACAAACAAGTAACAAGACAAAAAAACAGAAAACTTGAGCATGCATAATTATTAACCCTCCGCTCCCTCAGCTGCCTACACAGTTCCTCTCGCCGTGCCTCTACTCTCACATTCTCCCTTATTGCCTCCAGTAGCTCCACCCTCTGAACCACTAACTCTTGCTCCCTCTGGACCAATAGCCCCCTTAACCTGGTGGCCTCCTCACCCAACCTCCCAATACGCCCTGTAGCTGCCTCCTGCTGCCCCGTCGCCCATGCCGTGTGCCCCCCGCTAAAAATGTTTTGGGGTTGCCTCTCGTCCGTCCGACGACGACACTGTTTACGCCGTTGCTCCTCTCTCCGTCGCGCCTCCACCGTCTCCTTCCACGGACGGCGATCCATCCCGGCCTGGATTTCCTCCCAGGTCCAGGACCCCTGCCCGTCCAATATCTGCTCCCACGTCCAGGCTGCCTGCTCCTGGACACGCTGCTTGGTCCTGGTATGGTGGGATCTTCTGTCACGATCGTTGAACGGAGTGGGCCAAGGCGCAGCGTGATGAGCGAACATACTTTATTATCAAAAGTGATAACAAGAACAAAAACAACAAACGATAACGACACGTGAAGTCCTTGGCTACAAAATAAACCAACACGGAACAAACCAAAAGGAACAAGATCCCACAACTACTGTGGGAAAACAGCCTGTTTAAATGTGGTTCCCAATCAGAGACAACCAGCAACAGCTGACACTCGTTGCCTCTGATTGAGAACCACACTGGCCAACATAGAAATAGAACAACTAGACTAATTAACATAGAACACAAAACACATAGAATCTACACACGCTGGCTCAACATATAGAGTCCCCAGAGCCAGGGTGGGACAGGTTCTGCTGGTGTACAGCAATCTTTAAGTCATACCACAGATTCTCAATTGGATTGAGGTCTGGGCTTTGACTAGGCCATTCCAAGATATTTAAATGTTTCCGCTTAAACCACTCAAGTGTTTCTTTAGCAGTATGCTTAGGGTCATTGTCCTGCTGGAAGGTGAACGTGTTTGCTTATTTTCTTCTTTAAGCAATGGCTTTTTTCTGGCCACTCTTCCGTAAAGCCCAGCTCTGTGGAGTGTACGACTTAAAGTGGTCCTATGGACAGATACTCCAATCTCCGCTGTGGAGCTTTGCAGCTCCTTCAGGGTTATCTTTGGTCTCTTTGTTGCCTCTCTGATTAATGCCCTCCTTGCCTGGTCTGTGAGTTTTGGTGGGCAGCCCTCTCTTGGCAGGTTTGTTGTGGTGCCATATTCTTTCCATTTGTTAATAATGGATTTAATAGTGCTCCGTGGGATGTTCAAAGTTTCCGATATCTTTTTATAACCCAACCCTGATCTGTACTTCTCCACAACTTTGTCCCTGACCTGTTTGGAGAGCTCCTTGGTCTTCATGGTGCTGCTTGCTTGGTGGTGCCCCTTGCTTAGTGGTGTTGCAGACTCTGGGGCCTTTCAGGACAGGTGTATACAGTCACATAATTAGTTAAATAAAGTCCACCTGTGTGCAATCTAAGTGTCACATGATCTGTCACATAATCTCAGTATATACAGTGGGGGAAAAAAGTATTTAGTCAGCCACCAATTGTGCAAGTTCTCCTACTTAAAAAGATGAGAGAGGCCTGTAATTTTCATCATAGGTACACGTCAACTATGACAGACAAAATGAGGAAAAAATTTCCAGAAAATCACATTGTAGGATTTTTTATGAATTTATTTGCAAATTATGGTGGAAAATAAGTATTTGGTCAATAACAAAAGTTTCTCAATACTTTGTTATATACCCTTTGTTGGCAATGACACAGGTCAAACGTTTTCTGTAAGTCTTCACAAGGTTTTCACACACTGTTGCTGGTATTTTGGCCCATTCCTCCATGCAGATCTCCTCTAGAGCAGTGATGTTTTGGGGCTGTCGCTGGGCAACACGGACTTTCAACTCCCTCCAAAGATTTTCTATGGGGTTGAGATCTGGAGACTGGCTAGGCCACTCCAGGACCTTGAAATGCTTCTTACGAAGCCACTCCTTCGTTGCCCGGGCGGTGTGTTTGGGATCATTGTCATGCTGAAAGACCCAGCCACGTTTCATCTTCAATGCCCTTGCTGATGGAAGGAGGTTTTCACTCAAAATCTCACGATACATGGCCCCATTCATTCTTTCCTTTACACGGATCAGTCGTCCTGGTCCCTTTGCAGAAAAACAGCCCCAAAGCATGATGTTTCCACCCCCATGCTTCACAGTAGGTATGGTGTTCTTTGGATGCAACTCAGCATTCTTTGTCCTCCAAACACGACGAGTTGAGTTTTTACCAAAAAGTTATATTTTGTTTTCATCTGACCATATGACATTCTCCCAATCCTCTTCTGGATCATCCAAATGCACTCTAGCAAACTTCAGACGGGCCTGGACATTTACTGGCTTAAGCAGGGGGACACGTCTGGCACTGCAGGATTTGAGTCCCTGGCGGCGTAGTGTGTTACTGATGGTAGGCTTTGTTACTTTGGTCCCAGCTCTCTGCAGGTCATTCACTAGGTCCCCCCATGTGGTTCTGGGATTTTTGCTCACCGTTCTTGTGATCATTTTGACCCCACGGGGTGAGATCTTGCGTGGAGCCCCAGATCGAGGGAGATTATCAGTGGTCTTGTATGTCTTCCATTTCCTAATAATTGCTCCCACAGTTGATTTCTTCAAACCAAGCTGCTTACCTATTGCAGATTCAGTCTTCCCAGCCTGGTGCAGGTCTACAATTTTGTTTCTGGTGTCCTTTGACAGCTCTTTGGTCTTGGCCATAGTGGAGTTTGGAGTGTGACTGTTTGAGGTTGTAGACAGGTGTCTTTTATACTGATAACAAGTTCAAACAGGTGCCATTAATACAGGTAACGAGTGGAGGACAGAGGAGCCTCTTAAAGAAGAAGTTACAGGTCTGTGAGAGCCAGAAATCTTGCTTGTTTGTAGGTGACCAAATACTTATTTTCCACCATAATTTGCAAATAAATTCATTACAAATCCTACAATGTGATTTTCTGGAGAAAAAAAATCTCAATTTGTCTGTCATAGTTGACGTGTACCTATGATGAAAATTATAGGCCTCTCTCATCTTTTTAAGTGGGAGAACTTGCACAATTGGTGGCTGACTAAATACTTTTTTCCCCCACTGTATATACTGAGATTATGTGACAGATCATGTGACACTTAGATTGCACACAGGTGGACTTTATTTAACTAATTATGTGACTTCTGAAGGTAATTGGTTGCACCAGATCTTATATAGGGGCTTCATAGCAAAGGGGGTGAATACATATGCACGCACCACTTTTCCGTTATTTATTTTTTAGAATTTTTTGAAACAAGTTATTTTTTTCAGTTCACTTCACCAATTTGGACTATTTTGTGTATGTCCATTACATGAAATACAAATAAAAATACATTTAAATTACAGGTTGTAATGCAACAAAATAGGAAAAACTCCAAGGGGGATGAATACTTTTGCAAGGCACTGTAACTGTGTTGGAGCTGCCAAATCGATGAGCGGGTGCTCGTGGTCATTGTCATGAAGCCACACCCGTCCCAATCACGTTAGAAGTTGAGAAATTGAAAGTGTAGGCTATATAGAAATAATTACACTCAAATTAAAAATCATAAAATGAAATAATAAGGATTTTTATCAGCCTAATTGAGATTAGGTTAAATACTAGTGTTCAAATTTGTAAACACAGCTGCATGGGATTTCTAAATGTGACTCTGTGCAGCCAATGGCAATGTCCACAATAGATATAATGCCGGGAGCCTCTTGTGGATTTGACTGCTCTAAAGCCTGTCGCATGCTTCCCATTCGAAACAGTTTGCGCATATATTGTGATGACATTTTGTGACGTTTTGGTGTTCGTCAGTTTTTTTTTCCGGTTGTTTGAGCGCATTACATTTTTTCTTGAGGCAAGTCAAAGTTTGGTTACCGAAGTCTACGCCCCTTCGTCGGTGATTGGTCAACAGTACTACTCCTAGTAGGAGCGGGAACTATGGATGGGATTCTTTAATTAATTGTTTGTTGTCATTCAATGAGAGACGACTAGTTTTCATGCACAATTTTTTACTTGAGATATACTGCACCAAACATCTTAGTTAGATGTGAAATTGCGCGACTAAGACCTCCTCGGAAGAAACATCAAAATGTATTACAGATTTCTTAATTTATCTTAGATTAATTCTGACTATTTTGAGGAAGTGTTATTTGCTATGTTGTTGCTACAGCGTCTAAAGAGTGACAAACAGTAATATTGATGCTTTTTTCTCATTTTTCAAGCGAAGGCCTTTTAAAGGAGTATGCGAGGCACAGACGTTCGCTAGTAGCAAACCGAACCTAGAATGTGGGCGCCTTAACGCAGTACCACCTCTGACACCGCCAAAAGAACAGCAACAGGGTGTCGGCTAGCGCAAATCTGATTGAATCTAGCCCTTACACAAGTATAACAGCAATCAGTAACAAAGATATGTTGGAGGTCACAGGTGTGTCAATGTGTGACAATGAGAGATGATGACTAGTTTGATTATGCCACTAAGTATTGATGAAGGGTAATGATCGATCAGTGGTCAAGATATCACATCAGCGCAAGGTGGGCACAGGCTAGCCCACACCAAGCCCACACTAGCCCAGCACGGGCTAGCCCACAGCCATCCCACATCAGCCCAACATGGGCTAGTCAAGCATGGGCTAGCCCACAACAAGCCCACACCAAGCCCAACACAGGCTAGCCCACTCCAAGCCCTGCTACTTCACAATGTAGAGGCGGGGGTTCATTCGAATATTTGGGGGCATGGTTTACACACAGTTGTTTTTGTGTAACCTGTTACTGAGAGTGTCGTTCCAGTTTAAGTGTTCTGTTGTGTGATGCAAATTAATTCTGATCTTCAAAAAAAATTAGATAAGTGCATGTGACATATGAGAAACTTAGTAGTTTTTCTTGTAAAAATATATGTATGATAGTTGTCATTCGCTAAATACCTTTGAGGGTTTAATAATATATCAAATGTACAAGGTGGACAGCTCACATAGGGGAATTATTTTAGCCCACATCGGGCCGACATCATGCCAATGTGGGCATGTTTGCTGGGAAAATATGGGTTTATTTTAGGCAATGAGGGCTGCCCTCACCAGATATGGGCTGCACATCAGCCCAGTGTGGGCAGCCTACATGGGGCCAATATTTTTGCCCGCATTGGGCCCACATTGTGCCAATGGGTGTGTTTACACAGGCAGCCCAATTCTGATATTTATTTCCACTAATTGGTCTGTTGCCCAATTGCATCAGACGTTTTCACATCAGATCTTTAGTGAAAAGACCAATTAGTACAAAAAATTATCCGAATTGGGCATGTTTGCTGGGATGGTTGAGTAATCACTTGAAGTGCTGCCAATTGGTATTGATAAAATATTAAAGAAAGAATGAACTACGGTAGATACCAGAGGAATGGACAAACATGCCTGAGTCCTTTGCAGTTACGTAACAGAAAATGAGTTAAAATTGAACATTAACAGTATTTTAACCCCAGTTTTGTTTACACTTTCAGATGCAGCCCGCTACATTCCCCACAATGGTATGTGAAACTCATGCTGGACTCATGCTTTATTGAGGAGTAAAGGAAATTGTAAATACAGTCATCCCATTTCTTACCCTAACAACTTTTTTTTTCAGTATGGAATTGGATCTGTGATGCTGCAGAGGAAGTGACCCTTGACCCCAAGACAGCCAACCCTGACCTCATCCTCTCCGATGACAATAAGCGCATGTGCTGTGGCCTGGAGCGGCGCGACGTCCCTAACTGCACGCGCCGCTTCGACGGCTGGTGGTGCGCTCTGGGAAACGAGGGCTACACCTCTGGGCGCCATTACTGGGAAGTCGAAGTGGGCGACCGGGACTGGCGGCTGGGCATGGCTAAAGCCTCCGCCCAAAGGAAGGGTTACAGTTCCCTCAACACAAAGACGGGCTACCTCACCCTGCGGCTGGAGAGGGGCTCGGACCTCAAGGCCTTGACGGTGCCTTCCACCCCACTGGCCCAGATGCTGGTCCCCAGGAAGGTGGGGGTCTACCTGGACTATGAGCAAGGCCAGCTCTCCTTTTATGACGTGGAGAAGAGGTCCCACATCTACACGTACAATGAGACCTTCACAGAGAGACTGTTCCCTGTGTTTGGGACTGTAGAGGTGGTGAAGGATCTGGTGATCAGGCCGGCACAGACCAGGGAACCCTGCCTCTGCCCTGGACCCTGTCTCTGGTGCTGAGCTAAGTGCTGAGATAACATACTGCTCGTGGTCATTGTCATGAAGCCGCACCCATCCCACTCACGTTAGAAGTTCAGAACGAGAACGTGTAGGCTATATAGAAATAATGATGCTCAAACTGAAAATCATTCAACGAAATAATGAGGATTTCTATGAGCCTAATCAATGTGTAGATTACATCACACATTCCAGTGTTCGAACTTGTAATCAAGGCTGCATTGGATTTCTAATAATGCGACTCCGTGCAGCCAATGGCAATGTCCACGATAGGTATAATACTGGGAGCCACTTGTGGATTTTACAGCTCTAACACAGTTCCACCTCCAACACCGTCAAAACACAGCAATGCCAGTGTCGGGTAGCGCAGATCTGACTGAATCGAGCCCTTAATATTGTAAACGTAGCAATATTCTGTGTCAATTCCAGGCTTGTGGAGTGCAGGCTTTTGTTCTACTCAAGCCCTAACACACCTTATTCAATGGTTTGATGATTAGTTGATTAGTTGAATCAGGAATGTTAGAGTTAGACTGGAACAAAAGCCTGCACTCCTCAGGACCAGGGTTGAAGAACAGTCATTACCCCCTCCCCAACACTTTTTCTCTTACAGTGCCTTCATACCAGCTTATACCCTCTGGGAATGAAGTGGTAACTATTTGTATTGGTTGTTAAATTGCCATAGTATTTCATGGTATAAAGACACTGTAAAAGAAAGTGCTGCCCAAATTACCCAAAGATCCAATGTAGTTGAGATTATGTAGTTCAGTGAGAGCTTGCACACAGAAGAAAGACAGCACGCAGTAGTCTCATAACGTATATCAGCATATTTTTGGAAGTTGCGGTTGATATTGACAGTGTGTATAATGGTGTGAACAATGCTTTTTTTCAGTCATCAATAAATTAACACAATTCTCAAAGATCTGTTTGTCGGTTTGTGGTCTAAAAAGGTTATGAGAATAGATAGAAATGCAACTATAGCATTGAGGTTTATATTCAATCTTTATTAAATGCCATAAAATGGACATGCCAGATATAAAAAACAAAAAGCTGATTATTATATGAACGTTACATGAAGTAACTGATGAATAGCTATGAAGACAAAGTATAAACATTTATTTTTGGTATATTTATGAAATATCATTATGAATTATATTTCAAAAATCATCAAATTCATCTTCTACTTTCGACAAATATAATTATTTTCGCCATATATATCACTAAGTGTAAGAACTTGTTACAATGGACAGTATTTAGAATTGAACCAAAGCACAGCATAAAAATACATTATAAAGAGAATACAATCTTTTGTCACAAAACATATCCCTCAGAAATATCAGGACCAAGTTTTCTATCTATGCTAGAATATATTAGTTAGGTATAACATGCTTGTAGACTGAAGCTCTCTTTTTAAAACAATTATACAGTAATGAGATATCAACATTGATAGCGACTGTTTTCTGGAAGTTTTGCCCCACGTGGGGCGAGTTTCAGCCAATGAGCTGAGCGTCAGCCCCTCGCCATTTGAGTGACAGATAGCAAGATGCACACACAGCAGCGCGAGAGAGAGAGAAATGACGTGGTGCACATATCTGCACATATGTGACGTGGTATGAATTTCAGGGACCACTTTTCGCTCGTGAGCGCTACTTTCAGAACTACTGGCTAAAAAGTATACACACGTACCAGAGAATCTCATTAACTTTGTTCAGCATGGGAAATGTAAAAAATAATAATAATATGCAAAACCATAGGAAACATATTTTTACACAAACAATACATTGCAATAAAGTATTTGGCATCAACATTCTGACATAAAAAAAACACGTCAGCCTAATATATTTCATGTTTGTAATAGTAATGACTGAGTATCACCAACAATCGAATAATACGATTCTCTATGAACCCCTACAAACAAACATAGTCAAGGGTACAGGCAGGCGGTTGCTACAAAATGGGACAACCTGTGATATGTGGTTGTCCCACCTAGCTATGTTAAGATGAGTGCACTAACTGTAAATCGGTCTGGATAAGAGCGTCTGCTAAATGACTAAAACGTAAAAAATGCAAATGTAATACATTTAACAAACTGCAGACATCTAGTAGCCATAGCAGCCAGCCAGTACAAACACTTGTACACACTCTCCCTCCATTTATCTCTCAGCTAATCTCTGCCAAGAGATATTAACACTAGCAGGGGCTCTACTTTAAACTATTGAGATACGACCTCAGATTAGTGTAATAGCCTAATCTAAAACCTCTGGGCGTAATACCAGGTAGAACCAATAGAGGGAGCCATGAGTATTGTGTGTAAAAATTGTCAAACTTCCAACAAGACCTCTTTGTGGGGGTGGTAGTGTTCTTTGAATGTAAAATGTTTTCAACAAAATAGAAAGAAGCGACAAAACCATAAACAAAAGACTGACAAGAATGAAATTAATCCCATGTCAGACAGAGGGCAGGACAGGTCAGGATCCACTGTAACAGACAGAGAGGAGAGGAGGATGTGTTGGGCCTCATGGACACCGCCATCTTGTTGTTGACCTTTGACCTCAGGCCTCATAGAACGACCTCTCGACCTTCTTGGTGACGCTGCTGGAGCCGGCCACCTGCATGCTCCTCTGGACCACCTCCTTTGTCACGTGACGTGTCACCATGCCGCTGGTCTCTGTGTGCTGGGTCGTCATACCTGTCATCATCATACCGTCTCCTAGGGGTAGGTGAGGGGGTTAAAGTGTGTGTGAGAGAGAGACACTGTGTGTGTGTGTGTGTGTGTGTGTGTGTGTGTGTGTGTGCGTGCGTGTGTGCGTGTGTGAGGGAGAGAGAGAGCTAAAGAAAGAGATTAAAATGATACCTGAGAAGTAGGGGTCGTTGATCATGGTGTGTGTGACGTTGGTGCGGGTGCTGACCTCTGTCGGCAGTTGGAACACATCTCTCTTGGTCAAGGACTGACTACTGTACTGAGACATACCTCCTAGGCCTTCTATTTGGGAAATACCACCTAGGCCTCCTAGTTGAGACATACCGCCTATTCCACCTATTTGAGACGTGCTACCTACAGAGGGGGAAAAAGAGAGACAGAGAATGATATATGAGTATACAATATAATTCCAAATGTACAAACGTAGAGAATATCGGCTTCTAAATATGAAACCCAGTATGGTAAATTTAAAGTGAGTACCGACACATTATTAATTTCAATTTAAACACTAGATAAAAGAGAATGTTGTAGGACTCTGTCCTCTTACCCCCATCCTGAGACTCAATGGTGATGATGCCCTCCCTCTCAGGGCCGAAGCCCTGGGTTGTCCTGGCCTGAACTTTGAACTTGTATGGCATGTTCTCACTCAGGTCCGGAACCGTCAGACTGGTCTCAGCGCTGTTACCGCTCACCTGGAAGGAACGCATGTCACCTGGAGTGGAGAGAGAGAGAAGGAGGGAGGTGGGGATTAGAATATGAAATGAAAGTGAATACAAATATGACTATGAAAGTGAATAGTCATTTGCTAGCATTGTCCATAATAAGTCAAGATAAATAAAAATAGAAGAGTAATTGACATTTGTGATATTCAAAGTCTCTGATGATCGCATGTCAATGTGTAGATCCTAGCAAATGACTGTGGACAAAAGTCTAAAATCCCCCAAATCTTATTTGGAGTCAGCGCTCAGTCTCACCTCCTCCGTGCAGCTGTTCACAGGTGACCACGTAACCCAGGATGTCTCCGTTGGGTTTGCGGGGTTTGTCCCAGCTCAGCTGCAGTGCCTCGGGGGACAGAGCTGTGAACACCAGGGGGCCTGGAGCACTGGGGGTACTGAGAGTGAAGGGAGAACCTGAGGGAGAGGGTGAGAACAGGAGTTAGAGAGGATAGAGGTAAAGGACAGAGCTGTGAACACCAGGGGGCCTGGAGCACTGGGGGTACTGAGAGTGAAGGGAGAACCTGAGGGAGAGGGTGAGAACAGGAGTTAGAGAGGATAGAGGTAAAGGACAGGGCTGTGAATATCAGGGGGGCTGGAGCACTGGGGGTGCTGAGAGTGAAGGGAGAACCTGAGGGAGAGGGTGAGAACAGGAGTTAGAGAGGATAGAGGTAAAGGACAGGGCTGTGAATATCAGGGGGGCTGGAGCACTGGGGGTGCTGAGAGTGAAGGGAGAACCTGGAGGGGGGAAGACAGAGTGAGCGAGAGAGTGAGGAAGAGAAAAAATAAGAAGATGTAAAGAAGGGACATAGGAATGAGAGATTGAAAGGAATTGGAGAGAGATAAAGTAAATATAACAGAAACAGAGCGATAGAGGTGAGATGTGAATTAGCTAGCAAAGGAGTGGGGATAAAAAGGGATCAACAAAGGGCGGCAGAGATGTATAGCTGATTACCTGGCATTGGACTGAGTGGGCTGTTGGGGTTGACGGCTGACTCTATGGTGATGACTCCCTCCCTCTCTGGTCCCCAGCCCTCCAGACTCTGAGCCTTCACCTTGAACAGGTAGGAGTGGTTAGGCAGCAGGTCCTGCACCACCACAGAGTTCTCTGCTGGGCTGGACACGTCTATACGTTTCACATCACCTGGAGAGAGAGACAAAGGATTTCGATTACTGTAGAGCAGTGGTACTCAAAGTCGGGGTAGCCAATAGTTTTTTGGGGTACAGATTATTCTATGGGACAATATACAAACATTTTTGAGAAAGATAATTAGAAAAATAAAATGTTAATGAGTAAATGTATTTATTGGTTTCTTTTCATTTTGAGAAGAGATTAAAATGTAATGAATTTAATGTTATTTGTTGACGTAAAAAAAATCGGAATGTACCGATTTTAAGGCTGTGTCATTATATATGGGGTGGGGTAATGAGAAATATATATTTTGTAAAACATATATATATATTTTTTATTTCGTGGTATCCAATTGGTAGTTACAGTCTTGTCCCACCGCTGCAACTCCCGTAACACAACCCAACTGAGCCGCACTGCTTCTTACCGTGCCCGCTTAACCCGGAAGCCACCAATGTGTCGGAGGAAACAACACTGTACACCTGGCGACCCAGTCAGCGTGCACTGCGCCCGGCCACAGGAGTCGCTAGTGCGCGATGGGACAAGAACATCCCTGCCGGCCAAACCCTCCCCTACCCTGGACGACGCTGGGCCAATTGTGTGCGGCCGGCTGCGACAGAGCATGGACTCGAACCAGTATCTCTAGTGGCACAGCTAGCACTGCGATGCAGTGCCTTAGAACACTGCGCCACTCGGGAGGCCCAGGGTCATGAGAAATATTATTGTGAAAAAAATGGGGTCCCCAGAAATTCTGCCTGAAACAATGGGGTCCCTGCTGAAAAAGTTTGAATAGCACTGTTGTGTAGAGGGATGCTGGGACAATGTTTTGAGATCTAAATAAGTTGATAGGGCTAAGGAAACTGTAAAAGACACATTTCTTCTAATCCTATTCAAGAAAAACCTGATAACTATGTTCACAGGTTCCAAGTGAAAAACAACATTCTTCTTCCGCACATCAACAAAACACCATGTGTTTACAATGTGACACAAATCATCATGGGTCCATACCTCCATTGAGCAGCTGGTAGAGGACACAGTACCCCAGCACATCCCTCTCACAGTGGGGCTCCTGCCAGCTGACCTTCAGGGCCGTGGGGCCCAGGGCAGAGAACACCAGCCTGGTGGGGGTGTCAGGGACCCCAGGGGCCAAACGAGAGTCTGATGGGGGAGAGAGAGGTCAGTGACATAGAGACAGACAGAGAGAGATGGGGGGAGAGAGAGAGGTCAGGGGTTAGGGGTTAAGTGGAGTCAAGTAAATTACAGTTACTAGGTGAGAGGATTAGTGAGAGGGGAGTGAGCTCGATGGAGAGAGAGAGAGAGCTAAAGAGAGAGAGAGGGAGAAAGAGATAGCTTTCCCTAAAACAAACATATCACAGCAAAAAACTGCTTTAGCAACACCAAGCCTTCCTCTCAAACCAGCTATGGACATGGTAAGCCCTACTATGAACCGATAGTGTAGCTTTAAGCCCTGCTATAGTCCCAGTGGTGTGAGAGAGGACAGCTGTGTGTGTGCTGCAGACAGACAGACTCACCCTGGAGCACCCTGTCCAGATTCAGTAGAGCATCGTTGACATCCTCAGACTGGGTCCTGCCCCCCAAGACCTTAGACATACTGTAGCTGTACTGACTCGGAGTCTGAGTGGGGCTGAAGCCATATGTACCTGAGAATGCAGGGAGCGAGCAAAAGGAAGCAAAAGGAAGAGAGAAGGAGGACAGGAGAGGGAGGGAAGTGAAGGAGTGGGAGAAGGAACACGGGGAGGAAAAGGAGGAGAGAAGGAGGACAGGAGAGGGAGGGAAGTGAAGGAGTGGGAGAAGGAACACAGGGAGGAAAAGGAGGAGAGAAGGAGGACAGGAGAGGGAGGGAAGTGAAGGAGTGGGAGAAGGAACACAGGGAGGAAAAGGAGGAGAGAAGGAGGACAGGAGAGGGAGGGAAGTGAAGGAGTGGGAGAAGGAACACAGGGAGGAAAAGGAGGAGAGAAGGAGGACAGGAGAGGGAGGGAAGTGAAGGAGTGGGAGAAGGAACACGGGGAGGAAAAGGAGGAGAGAAGGAGGACAGGAGAGGGAGGGAAGTGAAGGAGTGGGAGAAGGAACACAGGGAGGAAAAGGAGGAGAGAAGGAGGACAGGAGAGGGAAGGAAGTGAAGGAGTGGGAGAAGGAACACGGGGAGGAAAAGGAGGAGAGAGAAAGAGGCAAGGGAGCAGAGAGGATTGAAGGAGAGAGAATAACAGAAGAGAGAAGAGGAGAGCGACAGTCACCATAGCTCCTGCATAGCTCTGTATAGCCACCAGCCCCAATAATCGATAACTGATATCCAAGCCATCCGCCTCATGCATCTCATCAGTAAGCCTGCTGCAGATGATGTGTATTTCCAACATTTATAGCCACGATCGCTACAGACAAACAGATAAGCTTCTCCCAGCTTTCAATAGTAGAGGACAGAAAGATCTGAATACTATGCAATGGCATTTTCCTTAGCAAAAGCCTCATAGTCAAAGACCTCATCTCAATGGCTCGGTGAAACCCTATGCCTGTGACCTGTGTCAGTGTGGATTGTAAATGATCGGCTCTTTATCTCAAAGAGCTGGAAATATGCTTCAAAATATGTTTCAAAATATGCTTCAAAAATATGCCTCAACTTCAACTAATCTTACTTTTGCCGTCTGTGTATCCAGACAATCCACTGGACAGGTCTCCTATGACGATGGAATCTCGGATGTTGTCGTCATACTCATAGTATCCTTTGTTCTCTGACCGCTTTCTCAGGACAACATTCTCTGTGCGCATCCCGCCCCCAATAATCTGTGTGCGGGAGAGCGAGTTTCCTCCTGTAGGAGAGGAGACGAAAAGACAGGAGTAGAATAATGATGGCTACCAGAGACATAGATACAGAACAATAGAATTCTAGCATACATTCTCAGTGCAATGCCTTTCGAACTTTTGGTGTCAACACGTTGCCCATTGAAACTCTAAATCTCCAAGTTTGCTGAACCTGTATGGTGTAGCTACTGTTCTGGTGAAGACAAGCCAGCTGGAATTTCTTGTCACTATCATATCATTGTAAGTCAACAGAAAGATTCAAAAGCTGACACATTTTAAGAAAGAATCTGCATCCATCCATACCTTGTCCAGAGAGGTATGTTGTGGTGGACTCCGTGGTCATGGAACCCCCGGCCCCTCCTCTGTGGTTGGAGCTGAGGGTGGACATGGGAGACATCTGGCTGTAGCTGGAAGAAGACATGTTGGCACTGCGCGACATGGAATTATTTCCCCCGGGGAACAGGAAGTTTTGTTCCCACCTTCCCGTTCATTTGGTCTAACAGACAAAGATGAGGAGAGCCGGAGGAGTGAGAGGAGAACATAAAGAAAATCAATAACATTCTGGAACCCAACATAACCCAAACCAAACATTTTGGAACCAAAATAATTGATTCAAGTGCATCGATAGCAACAAATCACAACAAACTGCAAGAGAAATGGCCACCTTACAACATTAGACTGCAGCACACAGGGACATATATTTATCACCACTTTCACACCCATGAGAAGCCTTTATACAAGCCCTTCAAGCTGCCTCCTTTCAAGGGTCTCTCTCCACAGAGAGGTGTAAAGAGGACAGACAGGGGAGACAAACAGGCACCTGGAAAAGCCTGTCCATGATCATCAACTGGAGGTGGGGCAGTTGATGCCTGGAACCCTCTTTGGGTTGGAAGGTTGAGGGGTGCAGCAGGGGTAGGGATAAGAGTAGAACCAGGTTGCAGTTTCAGGGCAGATGGCAGATTTGAAGTAGGGCGCATGCTGTTGATTAGCGATCTGTAGACTCAGGCTCATCTTAAAGGATCAACGATCGTGCATATTTTGTGTAGACAGAGATGAGATGATAAGGGGGCACTGCAGCTACATTGGAGGTTGGTGCCTGCCGTGCGCAGTAGCTGGCATGCTATCTTTCTGTCTATCTGTCTGGCTTGCTGGCTGTCTAGCACTCGAGGTAGGTGGTCTTCACCTTTCAGGGATGGGGTCTGTGCTCGACTGGGCCGGGGAGTCTCGTCAGTGCTGGTGTCTGTGTCTGTGCTGAGGCGGTAGGGGATCACATCCACATGCCTCTTCCAGGACACCGAACGCAGGTCCAGCTTGGAACCCACCAACTTGATAAAGCCTTGTTATGGAGGGGAGAAGCAAGCAGGCAGGGTGGGTGGGTGATGGTCTGGATTGATGGTTTGCATGGCAGTTGTTGTTTTTGTGAAGCGTGGTGATTGGTGAAAGGGCGAGTGAAGGAGAGAGGAGGAAGAGGAGGAGGCTGCATGTATGTAGCTTCAGTGATATCTACAACTCCAGATGTCTGGAGGCTCTCAGAAATCACATATTTCTTTGCAGTTGGGATCAATGGTAGGAGAGGTTTGACTGGCATGATAAAGCCATGAAGAAGAAAATGAAGACTGGTATGAAGACTGGCATGACAGAACCCAAAGCCATGAAGACGAAAATGATCTGATGATATAATAATATAATATAATATGCCATTTAGCAGACGCTTTTATCCAAAGCGACTTACAGTCATGCGTGCATACATTTTTTTGTGTATGGGTAGTCCCGGGGATCGAACCCACTACCTTGGCGTTACAAGCGCCGTGCTCTACCAGCTGAGCTACAGAGGACCACGAAAATCTCATGATCTCATGAGATGTAAAATAAATGTATGTTTCTTAGAGAGAGAAAGAGAGAGGGGGGGGGGACAAAACAAATAAAGAGAAAGAAAGAAGAGAGCGGCAGAAAGAGAAAGAAAAGAGAGTGCAAAAAGAGAGAGAGAATGGTGGAGGAGGCCCTCCTATTTGTAAGCCCCCTTGACCGTGACACTGTAAGACCTTTTCTGTTTTTCTTTATTTTCTTTCTCTCTCTGCTTCGGTGAGCAGAGCACTGGACTACAGAAGATGGATAGACATTTCTTTGTATGGAACCCATTTATAACAGTCCTGTCCTGTCCAGTCTGCATTCACTTGGTTTCACAGAGCAGTGAAGCTCACTGGCTTAATGAGGGGGCTACTACCCAATATGCATAAATCTAAAAGAGTGAGCTTCATCTCCATTAGCTGTTACTTAGCAACAGCTATTCTTTATGGGGTCCACTGAAAACAAACTACAAAACCACAACACACAGTACGCCACTGAAGTTAGGCTGCAGAGAGACAGGCTCCAAGAGCCAGGTAAGGTGGCGTAGTCTGTGGGTACCCACCTTCGTCTGAGACGCTGGGTCTCTTGGAGCCTGTTGGTGACCTCAAGACCTCACTGCTGTACATCAGATAGCCGTCGTACTCATCCCCGGCCTCCGCGTCCACTATTGGGATGTCTGGGATGATGGGAACTACAGGGAGAGAGGGAGGAGACTCAAACATGAAGCTATGGTCATGCTAAAAGTATAAAATTCAATATAGTATTCTATAGTAGGAGACAGCACAAGGAGCATTATTCCGGTCCTTGAGGGCTACAGTGACAGTTGGTTTTCATTGGTTAATTTGAGGATTTATTGTCCACAAAACAGCAATGCAGTGCCATAGAGGAACTCACTGGACATGGGTCTGACGGGCTGTGAGGCCAGATTGATGGTTGCCTCTCTGAATGGACCCCAGCCAACGCTGTTTTTAGCCCGGACCTTATAGCAGTAGGTCTGGGCTGACTGCAGGTTCTCAATTAGCAACATCCTCTTCTTAGGGTTGTCTATCTTAACCTTCTTAGCTACACCCATCGGCTCTACAGGGGAAGGAAGAGGGAAAGGAGAACACAGAGATCCCATTATATTATATGTACGTTCTAATATGTACATGTTAGAATGTCTTAGAAGCACAGGCATTAAGAGGCATTCAGAGATTCTTTGATTTGATTGGTCACTCACTTGTGTCGTCATTGATGGGTGTATAGAGGACCTCGTAGTTGGTGATGACGCCGTTGGTCTCGGCAGGCTCCGCCCAGCTGACCTGAGTGACAGTTGGACTGATGACATTGAACGCCAGACGACCGGGCTCACTGGGGACTGGAGGAGGAGAAGAGAGAGAGATGAGGGGAGGAAAGAAAGGAGAGAGAACGTTTATCACAAGGCAGAAAAACATCTACACAATCGTTGAGCTTACATGCTGTGTCGCCCCAACAATATTCAACAAGAAAAAACTGTCCACAATCCTAGAAGTGTTATTTGTGAAAGACAGTAAATGTAGTCTATCTTTGACAGGAACAGGAAGTGTGCTCACTCACCATCCTCCAGGGTCTGACAGGGCACCATGTCGCTGTAGTTTCCGTCTCCTAGGGCATTGTAGCCACACACCTTCATCTCGTAGTCACAGAAGGGGTACAGGTTGGTCAGCTCAGCGTGGGTGGTCTTCACATCCATCAACTGGGCATCAGCCTCAGGGTCCCCATAGATCCAATACTTCACCTGGTGACCAGGGAGAGGGAAACAGAAGACATAGAAAACACAGGTGAAACACTGGTTGGAATGAACAATCTTAAATGGAACACATTCCATCGTTTATTTGTATACTCCAAAATTACACTCCAAAGATTTTTTGGTAAATTATAGTTTCAGAGTTAATTTCAAAACATTAGTTCAAAGTTCAGTGAGAGCTAAGGAAAACAATCTCCTAATTTCCACCAGCAAAGGTTGGCAGGTGTGTAATGGGGGCAAATCTGTTGATGACCTATGCTCCTCACGGAGTAAAAGGGTTTAAATCAAGGTAAGTCAAGTCCTGTATGACAGTTCCTCTCAGTACCTTGCAGTCCAAGGGGTTAGATCCTGAGGGGGGGTTCCTTACCTTGTAGCCCAGGGGGCTTCCTAAGGGGTCCCAGTTGAGACGGATGTTTCGTGGGCCAGTGGCTTTAGCCTTCACATTGGTGGGAGAGAAGAGACGACCACCAGGAGACATGGCTGTCTGGTTGATGAAGTCCATACCCTGCTGCTGCCTCTGGGCATTCTCTGGGAGTCCTGAGGGTATGGGGGAGGAGGGAGGGAGGAAGGGAGAGAGGGAGGGGGCATAAAGGGTTGGGTAACTTATTTTAGTGATGCACATCTCATGCATCAGATTCCTTATAGATACCCCATACTGTATGTGTGTGTTTCAGTGTCTGTTTCTGTGTGTATTACCTCCATCAGTAACCGTGACCATCGTTGTCTTCCTCTCCCCGACCGCAGCGTTCGTACTGGGGTCAAACAACTCCAGCTGGAAGACTTCTGGTTTGACCGGGCCAGGGTGAGAGAGTGGGTCGATCACGATGTTCTTCTCCGTCTCCCCAGGACCAAACTTGAGGGGACCGGACAGCTCGAAGCGCTTGGCATTGCGGGTCTTCCAGTGGACGGTGGCTGGCCCCTCCTGGTTGCGGGTGCGGACCACAGGAATGGAGTAGGTTGGGTCAGCTGTGGAGAAGTTCTGGGTGCTCTTCATAAACATCATCACACTGGGCTCTGAGGGGAGCAAGGGGAGAGGAAGTTTGTTATGGCCATGTTAGAGAGGATAAAGTTATGGCTGGCTTTCTAACCATAAATGTGGATATTAGCCAAGATAGTAATGTCTGGGACCTGTTGTGCGAGGCTCTCCTGTGAGCTGAAGAAGATCCAAAGAAACACTGCTATATTAAAACGCTGGAATAATCTAAATAATATACAGGTATCTTTCTTTCTTTTTTCATGCTATGTGATACACCCTGGACCCTGTCCTCTCACCTGGTTGGTCAGTGATGGTGTCAGTAGTATATAACCTCTCACCTGGTTGGTCAGTGATAGTGACAGTAGTATATAACCTCTCACCTGGTTGGTCATTGATAGTGACAGTAGTATATAACCTCTCACCTGGTTGGTCAGTGATAGTGACAGTAGTATATAACATCTCACCTGGTTGGTCAGTGATGGTGACGGTGGTTCTGGGGTAGCGTCCCAGCTTTGCTCCCTGTCTTGGGTTAGTGAGGTCCATGACAAATTGTTTGACCTGTGTGTCCTTCAGCAGACCGTCTCCCTCTCCCAGCTCCAACAGACGCACAGGGACAGTCTTCTGGGTCTCCCCTGGCCCATAGGACAGGTCCCCATCCACTGTCACATAGTCCTGGCAAGAGAGGGAAGAGTAGTTAGGATTGGGAAAAGAAACAGTCACTTAGACTAATGAAAGGTGTGATATTGCTGTCTTTTAGTGTGTGTGCGTGCGTGTTACCTTCTTGTCCTTGGCGGTGAGATCTCGGGTGCGGTAGGTGACTTGTGTGTGTCCGTCCTCTATGATCTCTCTGCTAATGGGGATGTTAGCCACTCCGTCCTGTCGGCTGTAAGTGTACGAAGGCTGGAGGAACGACATAATACTCTTGGCTGGAGAGGAGAGGAAAGACACACACAGTTATGAGCTAAATAAGGTCAGTGGAAGGGAAGTACACAAAAGAAAAGAGAGAAATGTACACGTATTCACTGGAAATAAATAGTAAGAAACTGTTTTGTAATGCTTTTGAATGGTTTTGAAGAACTGTGTGTATGTGTGAGTAGAGAGGTCAGGGGTTAGATAAGGCTCCTCTGATTGGCTCTCACCGTGTTCTTTGATGACGGTTATGTTGACGAAGCGTTTCCCTATTTCAGCGATGCCCAGAGGAACGTCTACCGCCTCCACCTGCAGCTGCTTCTTATCATCATCTTCTTCCTTGATGAAGAGCGGCACGCGCACATCCACCGTCTCCACCCCCTCCTGGAACTCCACGGCACCAGCCGCCTCTGCAGAGAGAAGAGAGTGAGAGATAGAGAGAGAGAGCGAGAGGGAGAGACAGTTAGGGAAACTCACAGACACACACACAGACACACACACAAACACAAACACAAACACAAACACACACCTTTGTCTGTGGCCACTGTATAGTAGCCCGGCACCACTTTGAGATCTTGGAAGTTTCCAGACTGGACGTTTTTCTCAGTCAATTTGACGATATCAGGGTAGCTGGAGCGAGGAGCGGACACGACTGTGTCTACAATTGTGTGGTCTTTTCTTTTACCAGCATTTCTCTGCAATCTGAAACACAACCAGAATATCAGTAATGATGATATGAGAATATACGATTTAGACAACATGCACAAAAATTATTTTCATTATAATAAATTCAAGAGGGATTGAAGGTTATCCTGAAATAAGTGTCTCACCTAAATTTGGTCTTCTGAACCTTCTGGGCTCCAGGAATATGCTTGTACACTTCATTCAGCTAAACAGAGAAGACACACATACAGTATACACACGCAATCCACTGTCACAAGGATGATCATCCAATACTGTATATACACCCAGCTTGCTCACACTCACACAAACACACTCACGTTGTCATCAACCTCCCTGCGCAACATCTCCGTGTCTCTGGCGTCAGGGTGAGACAGACTGTCTGTGAACAACCTGTTCAGACGCAGGGACAGAGGGAACTGGACTATAGATGGAGGAGAAAGAGAGTAGGAGGAGAGGAAAAGGAGGAGGAGGAAGAGAGGCAAATTAGGAAGAACGGAAGAGGAGAAGAGAGGTGGATTAGGGTTAAGGTTTCATCTCTCAGAATCATAACAATGTAAACCAGGAAGTTCTAGTGATAACTCCAACCAATGGGAGAGCTGGAATTCAGAACACTTCACACTCACTGGTCTCTTTGGGGTTGGGCTGGACCTGCGCCAGCGGGTGATTGGGCGATCGGTGGACATTGTCGGTGATCTTCCAGCGAACCACGTCGGTGCTCTTGGGCGGGCCTGTCCTCACTAGGGGCGTGTCCAGGTGGTCAGAGGTAAGCAGGGATTGGCGGAGCATGTACTGGTCCTCCTTAAAGCCAACCATACGGCCTGCAGACACAGACACACATAGGAAAACTCATGTTCAATCACACATTATAATACTGCCTGGAAACATGGTACAGAACTAGTAATATATGCACAGAAGAATATTAAAAGATTCATAACAGTGATTTGGCATGAGTCACTCACCTCTTCCACAGCATGGCAGTAGAGCAAGACATGCCTGAGAGAGAAAGAGAATGAGGTGGGATGCAAAGAGAGAGGGATTATTTCCTTCAGAGTATGGCAAGGCCATGGTTGGTTGTGTTGAGGTCATGTTATGGTTGTGTTATGGTTGTGACTGGACAGTACCTTGCAGCAGGCGCAGTACTTCCAGCAGCAGAGCAGCAGTAGACCCAGCAGTAACATGAGGAACATGATGAGAGGGATCAGCCACAGGAAGCCAGCAGGGGGACAGTCTAAGGGGACGGAACACAACATCAACAATAACATCAGCATCACAAGTCACAAAGATGCTGAGCACTTCCAGAACAAACCAGGGAACCCCCGTAATTGTATTAGCGTCATATAAACAAAGGTATCAAGATAATAATAATTAGGTGGGTGCTTATATTTGTCCTATTTCACAAATGTGTATGTGCGAATTGGAAAAGTTTTTTTTTTTTTGCATATCGCACTCTCCCTGAGACACCCTCAGAGTGTGGGGTAGCCATGTTCTGCCATTATCAACAACGAACCGTTTTTTTTTTTTTACCTTGTTGACCTTTGGTTACTGGGCCAACACTCTAACCGCTAGACTACCTGCCACCCATATATGAACGTTGGTCATGTCTCACCTTTCTTCTTGAGCACCTGGACCTCCAGTTCCTTGTCAGTCTGGTCCTCAGGGTAGTCCACGGTGTAGTGGTACGTACAGTCATCATCCTCGTCACGGAAACTACACGCCTCAATCACCTCTTTATTTTCCTTGAGCTCGTCCACCATGACGACTTTGAACCTGCACTGGTTACACTGGTCGCTGTCCTTTTTCTCTCCTGTCTTCCAGGCCTGACACTGGACACAGCTCCTCTTGTCCTCACACATCCCCAGCTGAGCCTGGAAGTTAGCCTCACAGGTGGGGGTCATGGGCAGGCCCGAGTCCTGGCACTCACAACGACCGCATTTACACACACCACGCCCGTTACAGACACCCTGAGAGAGAGGGGGGGGGGGGGGGGGGGGGGGGTAGTGATTAGATCATTAATGAAAAATATTGGAGAGAGGGAGAGAGAGTTCACAAAATGGGACAAACACCCAATTGAGAGACTGCATGCAGAATTCAGCTAAAATATATTTTGTGTACAACGCAAAACCCCAAACAATGCAGGCAGAGCAGAATTAGGACTATACGTTATCAAAATCAAGAAAAAAGATGTTCAATTCTACAATCACCTAAAAGGAAGTGATGGCCACATATTCCACCACAAAGCCCTAACCTAGAGAAGAGTCCCCTCAACCAGTTGGTTCTGTGGCTCTGTTCACAAACACAAACAGACCCCCACAGAGCCCCAGGCCAGCAACACAACTAGACCCAGACAAATTATGAGAAAGCAAAAAGATAACTATTTGACACACTGTAAAGAATAAACAAAAAAAGGGAGCAAATTGGAATGCTATCTGGCCCTAAACAGAGAGTACACAGTGTCAGATATTCCTTGACTATGTATAAACTCAGTGAGCATAGCCTTGCTATTGAGAGAGGTCGCCATAGTCAGACCTGACTCTCAAGAGAAGACAGGATATGTGCCCACTGTCCACAAATGAGGTGGAAACTGAGCTGCACTTCCTAACCTCCTGCCAAATGTATGACTACATTAGAGACAAATATTCCCCACAGATCACACACACCCACAAAGAATTTGAAAACAAATCCAACATTGATAAACTACCATATCTGTTAGGCGAAATACCAAAATATGCAATCGCAGCAGCAAGATTTGTGGCCCGTTGCCATGAGAAAAGGGCAATCAATGGAGCACATACAACATTGTAAATACCACCAATATTTACCTGTTTATTTATCTTCCCACACTATTCGTACTACAACTATTTGCACCTTGCTAAAACACTGTACTGATAATATAACACTTGAAATGTCTTTATCTTTTTGAAACCTTTTTGAGTGCAATGTTTACTATTCATTTCAAATAGTTTTTTGTTAACCTCTACGGGATCGGTGTCCCGTATACGGGACGGTTGAGCTAACATGCGCTAATGTGATTAGCATGACTGTTGTAAGTAACAGCAATCTTTCCAGGACATAGACATGTCATGCATGGGCAGAAAGCTTAAATTCTTGTTAATCTAACTGCACTGTCCAATTTACAGTAGCTATTACAGTGAAACAATACCATGCTATTGTTTGAGGAGAGTGCACAACAACACAAAGCGTATCACGGCAACTGGTTTGATACATTCACCTCTGAAGGTAAATAATGTACTTACATTCAGTAATCTTGCTCTGATTTGTCATCCTAAGGGTCCCAGAGATAAAATGTAGCAAAGTTTTGTTTGATAAAATCCATTTTTATATTCAAATGTAGGAACTGGGTTCTACAGTTTAAACTCCTGCTGTCTCTGGCTCCACACCCACCCCGCCCGGCCATCTAGATGTGTGAAAGTTAGTGTATAAGCTAATGATCCATCATGTATGACATTCTTGGGAGTGTGTAAACTTACATTTTCTATTACCATATCATTGTTGTATGTTCTCTATAGTTATGTACTTGAAAATGTATCAATTGACCAATTCGGCACATTTGGACAGACTTGATACAAAATAGTCCAGTATTGCAATGCTTCACTGGATCAATCTGAAACTTTGCACGCACACTGCTGCCATCTAGTGGCCAACATCTAAATTGCGCCTAAACTGCAATATTATATTGTGGCCTTTCTCTTACATTTCAAAGATGATAAAAATAAAATAAATGTAAAAAAGCATGTTTTTTGGTTTGGATGATCTTTTACCAGATCTAGTGTGTTATATTCTCCTGTATTAATTTCACATTTCCACAAACTTCAAAGTGTTTCCTTTCAAATGGTATCAATAATATGAATATCCTTGCTTCAGGTCCTGAGCTACAGGCAGTTAGATTTGGGTATGTCATTTTAGGCAAACATTTGAAAAAAAGGGTACGATCCTTAAGAGGTTAATTTTGTTTTGTGTCTTCTCACTTTTGTTTATTGTTGATTTCACTTGCTTTGGCAATGTAAACATTTGTTTCCCATGCCAAGAAAGCCCCTTAGAATTTAATTTAATTGAGAGAGAGAGAGAGAGAGAAAGAGAGAGAGAGAGAGAGAGAGAGAGAGAGAGAGAGAGAGAGAGAGAGAGAGAGAGAGAGAGAGAGAGAGAAAAGAGAGATGATGTAGTCCTCACCCCTTTAGTGTCCAGACAGGTCTGGTTGCTTATGGGACACTCACAGGCCGGTCCCTCCCAGCCCTCTGCACACGCACACTGGCCCATGAAGCAGCGACCACGGTCTAACACACACAAACAGAAATGGTTCAAGTGCTTCACACTCTCACACACTCTCACAAAGATTCAGCTTTTATGGAGTTTAGTGAACACAAACTGTATGTATGACAAAGTTGTACACGTCTTATGACAGCCCCATTGTCTCCCAACAGACAGCGTTATTCTAACGCAACGTGGTGCCACAAGCTCGCTATCTGAGACAATGATGACAGTCACACACTCACCGTTGCAGAGGAAGCCTCCGTATCGTTGACACTGGGACTTGTCAAACTGACAGAGGGGTCCCTCGTACTGGTCGGTGTTGTAACACACACACGTTCCACACAGGCAATCTCCTCGGCCAGAACACGGCTCCCCCACATCAGGACCCAGACAGGACCCACCTGCGTCCGGCGACGCACTGGCTGAGCAGTTACAGAACGGACCCAGCCTGGGGACACACACCACGGGGAGAAAGATGGTCTTTTATACTCATGTTCTGTCTTTCCTAATTGGCATATATCACTCCTCAGCTCTCCAACATGATACTGTAACTGATGTGTGGTGAACGTTCTGGCACAAATTAGTTGCCGTGCATCACCCTAGGGTGCTATGCATCAGTGGTGGTAGAAGTGAGTTTCCCACCTTATGATGTGAAGTGCTTTGAGCACTGGAAAATCACTAAAAATTATTATTATATCCTCCTGAGACCCAGCAACTCATTTTTGCCCTCTCTCGTGGACAACAGTTCTTGGTCCGTACCTCTGAGGCCATACAAGCCACTGTGTTAAGTCCTATTGTCCCTTTGAGAGGACATTCTGGGCTTTTCAATGAGATTACATGTGTGGGGGTGTGACCTTGATAACTTTATCTTCCTATTTCTTTAAAAAATGGCTGCCGTCAAAATTTGCACATTTAATGGAAATTTGAATATTCCAATTATTTCCAGTAAGTGAATATCTCAGGAATAGTTAAGTGAGTTGTCAGGACTGTGTAAAAAAATTAATAAAAAACATTAAATAAGAGCTAAATAAGATCTTATCAAGAAATTTCCTCTGTAGCCGCAACTATGTTTTTCACCTACTGTACCCATTCACTGTAATGTTAATTTATTCATATTTATGTCCAAATGACCACTACAGAGGACAATTTTGCACTTACAATAAAAGATAACTAACAATACTTTTTTTTTTCTTCTTTTTTTTCACCTCAAACACTTATGTTATGTAAAAAATCTAACAAATTCCCCCCCCAATTTTTTTTGGGGGGATCTCAGGAGGATATAGCATATGAGAGAGAAAGTACATTCAGTTCTGTTTGTCTCACCAGCCAACGTAGCACTGGCACTTCCCACAGACCAGGGCGCCGTGGCCTGTACACCGCACTGCATTTTCAGTGGGAGTCTGAGGGAAGCGGAGATAGAGAAAGAAAGACAGTTAAAAACCAAAACCTGTGTTTGTGTGTGTATTTCTGCACATACGTGTCTTTCTGTCTGTCTTCATACCTTCTCACAGTCGCAGGTTTTACAGAGCACTTCAGCGTTGATGTTTAGAGCTGTGCTGAAGGTTGTTGGTTTGACTCTCATCTTCCCCTTTTTGTCACCCTGCTCCAGATTACACACATGTTCCTCCCCAACCATCTCACTGGCTTTGACACGCACCTTAAACTTCCCCTGGAAAAAAACACAGAATGGGTTAGTGTGTGTGTGTGTAAATGACTCATAGATGACTGACAGGGGGCGCTGTTTTGAAGCCACTGTGCCTCCATCTTGGCACCACCACCATTGTAAAAATATTTTGGAAGCTAAAGAAATGCATTTATTAATGTCTACATTTGTTTTAGCCATGTTTATTCTATTAAAGACACCTAAATGCACACTTTTTTCAATGATATTATGTGAGCTAAACCCCCCAAAACAAAAGGAAAAATATATGAATTCTTTTCCCTTAAAAGTATAATTTGTTGAAAATTATTATGTTACTGTCCCCACTACAACCCAAAATACTTCATACATTTTGGCATTGAAACATGTAATAGAGATACTGCAGAATTCCATTCATTCCTATGGAGGAATGCTTCTTCTGGCGAGTGCCAATATGGCCGACCAGTGTCTTCAAAGCCTCTCATTGGCCAGTACATAGGATCAGCAATACAGGCGGGGGGGGAGAGATGATGATCAGCACAACTTATAGAAAATGTTGTCATCATGTTAACATTGTGTCATGCTAGCTGTGTGTGTATGTGTGTGTGTGTGTGTGTGTGTGTGTGTGTGTGTGTGTGTGTGTGTGTGTGTGTGTGTGTGTGTGTGTGTGTGTGTGTGTGTGTATGCGACATCTAAGTGTTTCTTACTATTTGTCCAGGCTTGACTTTGAAGGTTCCAGCCTGTGCAACATTGCCACTGTATGATAGGACTTGAGCTTCTATAGCTTTAGGCCTGTCCTCAGCACGGATACTGATCTTAGAACGGATATTCTGAGAGGACAGACAGAGAACATTATTAGAACATCTGGCAATGCCTTTCGTAATAGCCCTTAGGGGATGCATAAAGTAAAATCAAATTGAATTCATGTGTTTAATTTGCCACACCTGTAAAACAAGCCCATTCTTACCTCAAAGGCTTTCTCCAGGATACTGAGGATGTTAGCAGAGTCTTCCTGTAGCAGACCCAACTCAGCAATGGGGAAATACTCATGAAGCTTCTACACAGGGAGAACCCGCAAAACATGAATGAGATATAAGGTTTTATCTGCAATGTTAAAGATGAGTTAAGAGGTATTTCCAGGCCTCCCAGAACAGACAGTGGCTAAACTCAGTGGCCAAACCCCCATTACAATAAGTATGAGTGAATGGTGATGGTGAAAATGGGCATGATGCTGTGTTTGTAGGGTTAGAGTAAGGTTCAGGGATAGGGTTAGGGATAGTAAGGTAAGTAGTAACTCTTTGAGTTCTTACCTGATAATAGGTAAAGGAGTGGTTTGTGATGGCGAAGATGGGGATAATGTTGTGTTTGCCCAGCAGGCGGACCAGAGTGGGCACAGAGGGGTAGTCCTGCTTGGTGTCCTCTGTGTATTTCCCCTCGGGATCCAGGTGGCACTGCTCGTCGTTGCGTGGCATGATGCCTGCCAGCACGTTGGCACCGTCTGCCTCGTAGTGGAAGGCAGACTCGGTGGAGAAGACCAGGAGGTGGGTGGCATGGCCACGCCAGCCGATCTTATCCTGGAGGGGAGGAAAAGGAAAGACATAGAAAGAGAGAGAGAGAGAGAGAGAGAGAGAGAGAGAGAGAGAGAGAGAGAGAGAGAGAGAGAGAGAGAGAGAGAGAGAGAGAAAGAGAGAGAAAGAGAGAGAAAGAGAGAGAGAGTTTGAGAGAGAGAGAGAGAGAGAGAGAGTTTGAAAAAGGGAGAAGGAGAAGAAAGGAGTAAGGAGAGAGTTCTATACAAGTGTATGGAGGCTCCTAAAGAATCACACAGCGGTGCATTACAGTTAACTAATCAAACAGCAAGCTTCAACTAATTAAACATCACAAACAGTACACCAAAGATGGTTGCCTGCATCCCCCACCACAAAACGTTGAATGGTAATATCCGTTCTAGTAAATCTAACTCTTTAGTCCTACCCCGCAGACTGCAGCCTGCAGTATGGCGTCGAAGCCCCCCTCTGGAGCGTCCAGGTTCCCTGAGATCCTCTCCTTCTGCAGCTTCTCGGTGAAGGTCGGCAGGTCAGAGGTCAGAGTGATCACATGACGGAACGAGAAGGGAGGGTCGCTGTTGGGCCAAGGCTGGGCAAGTCTGGAGAGAGGGAGGGAGGGAGAGGAAGAGGAGGAGAGGGGAGGGAGAGGGGGTCGGGAGCAAAATCGATAGAAGGAGGGGCCATGAGAATGAGTAGTGTATAAATGCAGATATTTTCGTACTGTAGTAATGTTTACTTTTGGGTCTATGTGTGCATCTGTGTCTGCATGTGTGTCTGTATAGATAGGATAAAGAGTTTTAAAGTTCTTACTTGGATGGTCTCATGTCTGTCTGAGGTTCCACCACCTTGTCCACAAACTTGCCGAAGCCGATGGTGTAGTCATCAGACAGCTTACCTACCAACTCAGCTATATGGGGAACAGAAAATATCAGTACCACTACCAGACTACTCTAGTACTACAACGCTGAAGTCAATGGTGTAACAATCAGACTCATCGTTCCCCTCTAACTTACCCAGCTCAGCACCCATCCTCTTGAGGTTGTCCAGATCGTCTTCCATGGAGTTGGAGAAGTCCATAAGAATATAGAGGTCCAGAGGTCCTTTAGCTGGTTCAAACACCTCCATCTCTATCTCCCTCTCCTCCCCTGGCAGCAGAGTCATAGACATCTCCTGAGGAGCTACCTGGGACTGCTTCAACAACATGTTGATCTGCTCGCTCTATAGAGGGAGGGAGGGAGGGAGGGAGGGAGGGAGGGAGGGAGGGAGGGAGGGAGGGGGAGGGAGGGAGGGAGGGAGGGAGGGAGGGAGGGAGGGAAGAGTGTGTCATATCATGTATATAACATGGGGAACGAAGACAAGTGTCTCCAACCTCAGCAAAAAGCACACCTTGCTTGTGACCGTAGCAACTGGAGGACGCTTGTGGTCGACTGTTCTGCAGCCGAACGATGATGATGATACAGTATTACAGAGGTAGCCAGATGAACAGTCTAATGAATACATGTTAATTCATGAATCCATGTAGTAAGGATTAGCGTGATTATGATACTTACTCTCTCTATCGACATACTGCTTTCGGCTGTCACCGCGCTTTTACAGCCGTGGTTTATGATGTTGTCCTTAAGGTCACAGCGGGGTCCATCAAAGATCTGTATGCAAACACAAACATTGGTCACACTAAATATTTGTGGGGGGTAAGCTGTGTCTGTGGGCAACTTGAGTAGTAGTTTATTCTCACCTCGTCTGGACAGTAGGCACAGCCCTTCCCTGACTGAATACATGCTGAACAGGTGTTAGCCCTCGCAGCCAGACAGTGATTCACTATTGGACAGAGAAGCATAGCAGGAATATCTGTGTTAACATTTAGCATCAGTAGAATTCCAATGAAAAATATTATTTGATTTTCAGTGAAGATGATTCAACCTATTTCTCAACTGCATAAATAAGATGGTGTCTATCGACATATTAAAATATTCAAAGAAAGAGTCAATACTGTAGTAATACGAGACATACAGTAACAATCACTCGATTGATGAAAATAATTCTCACCTTCTTCAGCGTAGCAACTGGCCGTGAGGACAGCAAGAAGTACAACTCCCACCAAGAGATTTAACATCCATCTCCCCATCTCTCTCCTGCAACACACACACACACATATGTCATGACCTTTGACCTTTCACCACGGGCTAGACTACACTCACCTGGTGAGGTAAGAGTAGGTTAAAGTTGCTACTTGACACTGATGGAAGGTCAGTTTTCCGTTTTCACTCCTTTGGTTAAGGTGATCCTAGATCTGTGCCTAAAGTAACTTCTTCTTGGAGAGGTCAGGTAAGAGTATCATCAAGTTGACTCAAAGAGCCTCAATTAAAGAAAGTTGACTTTCAGCCTCCAGTATTGCCTTCTGTGTTGCATTATCTGCCTCCTGTATTGCATGTTCCCCCAGTGACCTCAGTACCTGGTTATTCCTCTACAGAAATATTATGGTGTAACCCAAACCATCTGCCCCTGGTTGGCTCAGTTCTCTCTGTGGCCTTACCGCAGACCTTACACTCTTACAGAACAGAGAGACAATGTGAACCATCCACACATCCAGAAAAGGATGTATGTTTAGCCTATCTGCATGATCAACTATGTATGAAGAAATATCTCTACTGTGAAAAAAATTCTATACTGAACACTCCTTAAAGGGAAAATCCACTCATAAACTATATTTTGGTATTGTTTTCATTAGTCCACTATTGATACAGTCCAACATTTTTTTACATGTCAGCAGTCAAGTTTTCAAGATATTGGACTTTCAAGAACAAAAGTGTCACTGTCCACTTCACAAAACATATTTGAATTGTATAAACAGTGGACTGATGTTGTTTTTGTGTGGATTATCCCTTTAATAAGCAGATGTAACTTCGAACAAAAACCATCCCTAGCTCATCAAACAGACAGAAGCTAAAGGCAATTTCACCCTATATATATCCAGACTGAGGCAGATATATCCTGCCATACCCTGACTGCAGCACACTAATCCATTTTAGATTATCCATATGCCAAACTAAAGACAGATGCTCCACATCCAAACTGAAGACAGACAAGGGGAATGGGGGAATCAGCTTGTAAAAACGAGTTGGGGCATGCATGGTGAAATGAATTGCAATGGGAAAGCACTGAAGTGTAACTATGAGATATTTCAAGGGAATGTTCTTCTAGACATCAAGAGAGACATTGTTTAATGTAAATGTTGTGTGCAAGGAGCTGCAGTCTAATACAGTAGTAAATAGCAATCGTAAACATGGGAAAACACACAGATTTTTTCCACAGAGAATCTTACATTTTAAGTGAATGCTGACAGTTGGTGGCACAGAATGTGCTAGTAATTGAATCAGAGGAGAAAGAGGGTTTTATTATCCAAAAATGCCCCACTACTTTGACCATTGACTTACCGAACAGGAATTTCACCCCAAGGCGAGAAACTGACCCAACCATCACAAAAACAGAGCAGAAAAACACAGGAACGGGCACTTACTGTAATGTATCACCTTATCATGAACTTGAGCTGCCTACAGGTGTGTGTTTGTGTGTGTGCACGTGCGTGTGTGTGGGTTTCTGGTTTTACCGGTCACATTTATCACTGACCAGGTTGAGTAGGCTAAAAAAACAGGACCAATGATATCTTCACTGTGAGAAGGAATGTAAGGTCCCTAAAGGTTGTCTGTTAACTACTATTAAACACAGCCATATCAAAGAAGAATAATATCTACAGTTGAAGAGACTTTCTCATGGAAACAGTTAAAAATGCTAAGAGTTTGAGGGAAAAAACAATAAAGTTCTGCTTGAATTTAACTTGGTCTAAACAAAAAAATATAAGGGCCTCCCGAGTGGCGCAGCGGTCTAAGGCACTGCATCGCAGTGCTTGAGGTGTCACTACAGACCTGGGTTCGATCTCAGGATGTGTCACAACTGGCTGTGACTGGGAGTCCCATAGGGCAGTGCACAATTGGCCCAGCGTCGTGAGGTGTTTGGCCGTGGGGGCTTTACTTGGCTCATCGTGCTCTTGTGGCGAGCCGCGTGCCTGCAGGCTGACTTCGGTCATCAGTTGAACAGTGTTTCCTCGGACACATTGGTGCAGCTGGCGGGCAGGTGTTAAAGAGCGTGGTCATGTTTCGGAGGACGCATGACTCGACCTTTGACTCTCCCGAGCCCGTTGGGGAGTTGCAGCGATGAGACATGATCGCAATTGAAAAAGGGGGTAAAAAATGAACAAATATATGGACCCCAGAAAGTTGTGACTGTAACAGCTAATAGGGATCCAAATAAACATAGTACCACTGGGAGAAAACTGGTTGAATCAATGTTGTTTCCACATAATTTCAACAAAAATATTTTATGTGATGATGTTGAATCAAGATGGAATTTTGTAACCTAAACCTAAATCTAATGATATGGTGAAATGTTTTGTTGATTTCACGTTAGTTGACAATTCAACCAAATGTAAATAAAAACTAGACGTTAAAATGACATCTGCGCCCAGTGGGAGATGTATAAAAAGACTGATTCAGAATGTAAAGAACACATGAATCATTGCTAGTTCAGTAGTTATTGTGTTAAATAACATGCACGGCGGCCAGGTGAACATTCCAACAAAGGGAGGGGACCTAAACCGTTATGACAACATTAGGGTGCGTCACGTCGGTCAGTGACAGGGGGCACAGCCAGGTCCTTACATGAGACAGCCAGGTAAATCAACCCTGAACTACACACCTGGAGCACTCAGTCAGCCCCGTATAAACACAGATACTAAATTACCACACCATCAATCCATCTAAGTACAGGTAAATTACCTGACCTGACCAGGTAAATACATGTAGGAACAGCTAGCTGTCTGAGAGTGCAAGAGTGGAGAGATGTCCGGGACCTTTTGTCTGTCTGTGGTTTTTGATTCTGCTGCAATCAGAATGAGAGTCCCTTGTGGTCTGCACTGTCACAATGCACTCTGTAATTTCCCTGTAAATCTAGTTGGGTCTATGTGACCAGAAAGGGAGCGGTACTCAATAGTAGTTGGTGGGGAAAAAAACACACTGTGCAAAAAGAAGAATGTTGTTAAGCTTTTTGTATCCCTTGGAATCAGCATAGGCCTTGAAGTTCTAAATCATTATCTCTAAGAACAGGTATATACCTGCAAAAAAGAGCCTCTATTGTGAGTCCATTTCATCTGCAAAACTGAAATCTTACTACTTAACTGTCTTCACTTGTGTCACATTTTGGTCTTAATATGGTTAATTACAGAGGAATGACATGCAGAACAATATCAGAGGGACAACAACAAACACCTTGTAAGAAGTAGAGCTACAGACACCAACTCTAACTTACTTTAGTGATCCTTGATTTGAGTAGCAGACACTCTAATAAAAAACACTCAGGTCATAGACATTGTAAAGTGATATGCCTTAACTATCTTATAAAGCAAAGTCGTCTGAATGCTTGCTGCCTCGTGGCCAGGACTTCCATGCAAAAAAATATTTATATAGGACTCACCTGAATAAATAAGGATAAATAAAACATAAATAGAATAAAACTACTTTTGTAATACTCAAGTAGATAACTATAAGTAGTGGTCGATCAGTGAAGAAAATTGGCGCAATTACTGAGTTTATACCCTTGTTAAAGAGATTACTGATCATACAAACCTCTTATGGCTGCCTTGCCCAATCCAAGTCCAAAAGTCTGACCAAAAAAATAAGGAAATGCTTAATCCTTTCCCCTTTTCTTTTACTCCACACTCTTCTGTAAGGTTAGTATCCACCTGTGTCTGGGGGTAAAAAACCTCCTCTACGAGCCTTCAAGTCCAAGTTCCACGTTTCCAGGAATCTCTAATGCCAGTGCACAGGGGAGAAACACACTTCTACTTTCCCCCTCTCTTTCTTCCTTCCTTCCTTCTCTGCTCGGCTCCGTCAAATATTGACTTCTATCCTCTTAAACCTGGAGGCGAGGCGCCTGTGTGTACGCGTGAACGTCACAGTCTTGAAATGAGCGAGAGACAAGGGAGAGTGAGAGCCACCGAGTGTGTTTGTGTGAGCATGTGAGTGTAAAAATATGTGTGCTGAGATTTGATCCCTCCTCTAACTTGCACCCACTCACTCTCTCTCCCTCTCTCAAGCTCAGGTAAGTCGCTAACAGTATAGATAACTTCCTTCCTCTCCCCCTATATGTCACCTGACGTTTTACTTTCAAAGCTCCACACCTCTGAATGTGTCAGGCCCCCTCCCTGCTACATTCCTTCCAGGCTGGGCTCACCTGTGTGGGCTTGAGCCTGGCAAAGCTGGCCCCTCCCTCTGTAGCCCAATCCCATGGGAGTGGCAGAGAACAGAACACTGTCTGGAGGCTACGGGAAACAGTCACAGTCAAGAGTACACAAAGAGCTGGAGTGCAGTACTGGACTTACACATACCTCTGTGTGTCTGTGTGTGTGTGTGTGTGTGTGTGTGTGTGTGTGTGTGTGTGTGTGTGTGTGTGTGTGTGTGTGTGTGTGTGTGTGTGTGTGTGTGTGTGTGTGTGTGTGTGTGTGTGTGTGTGTACAGAGATTTTCTTTATCTCGCAAATATACAAACAAACTCACTTCAATTAGTGACATGATATCCCACAGTGCAAGAACATTTATTGAACATGAAACACACAAACACACACACACACACTCCTAAACTGTGCGTGCAGCCGGAATAAATGAGGTGGAAAAACAGGCAGTGCAGTAATGTGCATTCCTGGGCACAAAGACCAGAGAGAAGAGGGGGAGCAGAGGGCACCAGACCCAGTCATCATGCCCACCTGGCACACTGCCCTCTCTCTTGGGCTAACCTCTGACTGTGTGTGTGTGTGTGTGTGTGTGTGTGTGTGTGTGTGTGTGTGTGTGTGTGGTGTGTGTGTGTGTGTGTGTTAAAGAAGAGTTGCAAGCACTTTCATGCACTCTGGAATATAGTATATGTACATTTGACCACATTATAGTATTTTACTGCCATCAGCTCTATTGAAAGAGCTAAAGACATGAACTCTGTGCTGTATCTGTTATGTTCACCTTGGAGGGGATATGAGCTCTGCCCCAACCAGACCACAGACCACAGACCAGCTGTTACAGGTTACACAGCTCCTGTGGCTAGACCTGCTCTTACTGGAGAAACCACTGTCCAGTGTCCACACATAGCCCATGAGACACAGCTCAAGACAAAGCAGTAGATCTATGGGGTCTTAAGACTCAGGAGACAGAGACTCTCTGATCCACAGAGGACTGAAAACACATCAAACAGGCTTATTCAGCAGAGAGAACAGGAGCTGTATATCATACTGTATTCAGACTTCTGTCTGGCATACTATGACTCATAGGTGATAAAACTGCCTTTTCCTCCACAATGGACTGTTTGGAAACGACATAATTAAAACAGAACACAGCCATGCTCATATAAACAAAGTTTGGGTTTAACAATGGTTTAGTCCTCTCCAGAGGAATAGAAATGTTGCAAAATACCACTCCCTTCTTCCCTCCCTCCCTCCTTGGTTTTTGGCAATGTTGCCAATACAAACATCACTTTGCCTTAGTTTTTGATTGAGGGAGTTATAGGGTGTTGCTTTCCTATAACTTTTTAATTTGTACAAGGGTTCTAGCATCAGCATTGGTAGGAGAGGAGGGTGTTCTTAATCTTGAACAATGCTTCAATATTACCAGTAAGACACTCACATGAAATGGTTCAGTATACCTGTGTAAGTATTTATTGTGCATATTATTGCAGTATACCTCTTACTTTCAAGTGTTGTACAAACCATCTTGACATGAAGATTAGACCGACTATCACAATGCACTGAGACCTACATAGACATTTATATCTGATGCATCAGACATGTACATAGAAACTTCAAAGGAGACCTACTGGATGCCTATTGTATAGGCCTGGGTAAGCCAGCCAATGGCAGGCCAATGTGGTGGTAACAGGGAATTTGATAAAAGGATGTTGGTTTAGTGACACACCCTTACACTCTTCTCAGATAGAGCATAGCTGCCAGGCAACCCATTGACCTCTAACCTCTAAGAGTTTTTTAAACAACTTTATAAAAGCATGATATTGAATGCCCAATAACCAACATCAAAAAGCAATACAAGTTTTAATATATAGGCCTACTAGCCTAATTGTATGCCAGATTTCTCCGAGAGATGTCTAACAAACACGCATGTGCTTTAAACTGGTTCTAAACGTTATGCGACACCCGGATTCTGACAGCCCTGGGTGTTGAAATGACCGCAGCGGATGGCACTCCCAATGCCAACCATTTAGACATGCAAAAAGCACATTAGAAGAAAGAACAAAAATAAAAATTCACCTACCCCAATGTCGGGGGCGATGACATTCTGTAAAGCAATATTTAACACTTCAGTAGCCTAACTGTTGCCTAGTGGGCCCTTTGTTGTCTAGAATTTGGTGCTTGCTGAATAGTGCAAATTGATAATAGAATGAAACATAATCAAACACCGATTTTAACACATACTCACATTTGTTCCACTCTAAAAACGTTAGGCTGCACAACTTAATTTGTTACCGATAAACGCAACTTGTTCGTTACCGATGGCAGGTGGTATTGGCGCCTACGCGATGCGGGTGAATCATGATATTGACAGGCTTCGACGTCGTTTAGCCTACCGTAGCCTATCACACCAATCCAGTCCAAATGTAATTGCGTACAAAATGTCCAAGTTTAGAGCTTTTTTGGGAGTCTCCACAATACTGTCCCCAACTCCAACTCTCGCGCTCTGTGCAACCAACTGTCCAGTGCCAAACTCGGATTTCCATGACAAAGGCGCCCGTTCTTAGATCATTGCACTTGCTCAACAGTCTTTGTGCGGATTTTGTTCTCTATAAACTGGGCACAAAGACTGCCACTGCGAAATTTGGCCTGTTTCTCGGAGGAGTGGGACACCAATTCTTGAAGACATAGGCCTAGGCTACATACAGTACCAGTCAAAAGTTTGGACACAGCTACTCATTCAAGGGTTTTTCTTTATTTTTACTATTGTCTACATTGTAGAATAATAGTGAAGACATCAAAACTATGAAATAACACACATGGAATCATGTAGTAACCAAAAAAGTGTTAAACAAATCAAAATATATTTTATATTTGAGATTCTTCAAATAGCCAACCTTTGCCTTGATGACAGCTTTGCACACTCTTGGCATTCTCTTAACCAGCTTCACCTGGAATGCTTTTCCAACAGTCCTGAAGGAGTTCCCACATATGCTGAGCACTTGTTGGCTGCTTTTCCTTCGTCCGACTCATCCCAAACCATCTCAATTGGGTTGAGGTCGGGTGATTGTGGAGGCCAGGTCATCTGATGCAGCACTCCATCACTCTCCTTCTTCGTAAAATACACCATACACAGCCTGGAGGTGTGTCTTGGGTCATTGTCCTGTTGAAAAATAAATGATAGTCCCACTAAGCCCAAACCAGATGGGATGGTGTATCGCTGCAGAATGCTGTGGTAGCCATGCGGGTTAAGTGTGCCTAGAATTCTAAATAAATCACAGACAGTGTCACCAGCAATGCACCACCACACCATAACACCACCTCCTCCATGCTTTACGGTGGGAACTACACATGCAGAGATAATCCGTTCACCCACACCGCGTCGCACAAAGACACATCGGTTGGAACCAAAAATCTCCAATTTGGACTCCAGACCAAAGGACAAATTTCCACCAGTCTAATGTCCATTGCTCGTGTTTCTTGGCCCAAGCAGGTCTCTTCTTATTATTCGTGTCCTTTAGTAGTGGTTTCTTTGCAGCAATTCGACCATAAAGGCCTGATTCACACAGTCCCCTCTGAACAGTTGATGTTTGATGTGTGTGTGACTTGAACTCTGTGAAGAATTTATTTGGGCTGCAATTTCTGCAATTTCTGAGGCTGGTAACTCTAATTAAACTCTACAGCTGAGGTAACTCTGGGTCTTCCATTCCTGTGGCAGTCCTCATGAGAGCCAGTTTCATCATAGCACTTGATGGTTTTTGTGACTGCACTTGAAGAAACTTTCAAAGTTATTGAAATGTTCCTTATTGACTGACCTTCATGTCTTAAAGTAATGATGGACTGTCGTTTCTCTTTGCTTATTTGAGCTGTTCTTGCCATAATATGGACTTGGTCTTTTACCAAATAGGGCTATCTTCTGTATACCCCCCCTACCTTGTCACAACACAACTGATTGGCTCAAAAGCATTAAGAAGGAAAGAAATTCCACAAATTAACTTGAAATGCATTCCAAGTGACTACCTCATGAAGCTGGTTGAGAGAATGCCAAGAGTGTGCAAAGCTGTCATCAAGGGAAAGGGTGGCTATTTGAAGAATCTCAAATCTCAAATATATTTTGATTTGTTTAACACATCTTTGGTTACTACATGATTCCATATGTGTTATTTCATAGTTTTGATGTCTTCACTATTATTCTACAATGTGAAGAATAGTAAAAATAAAGAAGAACCCTTGAATGAGTAGGTGTGTCCAAACTTTTGACTGGTAGTATAAGTGCTTGGTGTTTCAGTGCATTTTGTCCAAACATGGAATGAAAATATCTTAGACCAGTAGCTAGTCTGTTGTTATTTAGGATATCTAGCTTTAAAAAAGGCTATCTTACCTTCACAAAATTTGGCGTGGATAATGTTTTAGACAATTGGGCTTCTTATTCACTGAATACTTTGTGAATCAACCCTGTGTCAGTGCACTGGATGAAAGGTCTTAGTTTTGAGGCAAGGTTAATGCCGGTTCAGCACTTAGCTGTACATTGGGTGTGTCTCTGACTCACCTGTGTGCAGAAACATGCACGCACGCACACACACAGTTCCAAGGACAGGCCCGCTCAGCTGAAAGTATGTGTGGATGCGCACAGTTCCAAGGACAGGCCCAGCTCAGCCA